CAATATCTGTTATCAATTGATTTAGATTCAATGTTGAAATTTGACAAATTGTCTTGCGATTTTGTTTATTAATTGTTGATTAATTTCACATTTCTTGATTATTATTATTCAGATTTTCCTTGGTTATTTTCATGTTTCTTAATCATTATCATGTTGATTATGATTAGCATTTACTTGATACTCTGATAAACTCTTGAGATAGAGTTAATTGTTGATGTTAATTATTGTTAACTATTGAAGGTTAATGTTATATTATTAAGATTATCATGATGTTGTTTCAATAATATTAATTGTAGTTTAGTTAATTGTAGTTGTATTATTATTATCTAAATTTTCAGGTTTACTAATGAATATTTAATTGTAATGAGTGAATGAGAGATAGTTAATCATTTTAACATTGATTACTATTAAAATAAAGTAGTAATAGTTAATTACAATCAAGAAAAAGAGACAAAAAATCATTTTGATTTCCAATGTAATCAACATTTACCATTCACTTTGGTGGAAGTTTTTTTTTTCATTTACTTTGATTAAATAGAGTAATAAACTAATTGTTATTAAAAAGATGATGATGATGATGAAGATAATGTTAATTAGTATGGTTTGGTTAGGATCTAATTAACTGATAGTGAAGACTAATTAAAATCTAATCAAGGAGTAAAAAGGTTTAGAGATGAAGAAGGAAAAATTTTTGCTTCTTTTAATTAAACATTACGTTAATTTGATTACCATCAAAGGAGACAACAATTAACGAAACAAAAAATTACGATGATTATAATTAAGTGGAAGGAAAAAAAAACAACAACAATTTGTTGATTAACTTCACAGATCAATTAATTAATCAATCAAAAATAGAAATGGTTAATATGATGATTGCGAAAAGTAAATTAAATTAGTTAACAGAAAAAGTTTCCATTGTTTCAGTGAGTTTTAATTGTTAACAATTAAAGAGTTTAAGTTAATGGAAACATGGTAACTAATTGTTGATTCTAATTGATAACAATCAGTAGCAATTTAATTTCTCACAATCAGAAATTGAAATACTATTTAAATCAGGATTAAATCAGAAGCAAATTAATAACATTTAATTGTTATGATTAAATATTTGTTTCAGTTAATTATGATTCGTGATGTTGATTGTAAATCATGATAATGGTGATGATATGTTGATGGTGAGTGGGTTAGTAATCAAATGAACAATTAGTTAACTAATAGCTAATCAACAATTAACTATTCTAATGATAATTTAAATTGTCCAATGAAAGTTTTTTAACCTTATCCATTGATCTTAAATGAAAAAAAACAACAACAAGAGCAATTTAATTTTTCCTTTCAATGATCAATAATTTTCAATGAGAAAATTATTCAATCTCATCCTCATCTTTTTTATCATCATTTTCTCATCATCATCATGTAATCATTATCATCATCATCATTAAATTAACAGCAATTATTAATGATTAAAAATTAACAACAGAAGCTGAAAACCAGAATGAAAAACTTTTTTAAGAACATGAAACTTTGTATGTTTCTGATTCTTGAGGTGCAGTTGATTTGATTTGATTATTATCATGATTATGATTATTTACAATTATGATTAACAAACAAAACTTAAATATGATAATTTAAATTGTTACCATGATAACAATTAACTAACAACAACCGAGAGTAATTTATGTTTTTAATTGTGAACATCCTACTAATATTAATCTCAATTGATTTTCAATGGTTTTTAATTTATTGACTTTTTCTTGTTGTTTTATTTTTTGATTTTGATTCTTGATTAACTTTGATTGATTGATTTGTTTCAACTGATTAACTTTTCTTGATTAAATCTTGATATAGATACATATATACATATCCTCGTACTTATTATTATGTTAATTGTTGTTAATTGTTATTGTATTACTTTGGTTAATTGAGATGCAATCATAAATTGTTGTGAAATTAAGTTAATCAAGATGATCAAAAAGTTTCATTAAATTTGTAATCAACTTTATTGTGTCTATCATTTTTAATTAAATCATTTTCAATCATGATAGTAAGATGTATATATATCTTAATTATATGTTAAATTAACAGTGTGTCACAATTTACTGATTGTTGTCAATTAAATTTACCAATCAAGAGAGTAACTTAATTGTTAGTGTTTCTAAAAATTAAACTTCAATCTAAATGTTTGATGAATTTTGTTGATTTCTCATTGAAAACAATTTATCTTAAATCGTTAATTACATCAAATCATTAATTGACTTTTCTCTAGATTTTAATTTTATTTTAATTGTTAGCTAAGGTGCCACCAGTATCACCATAAAATTAGTAAATTGTGACGTTAATTATTTCAAAGGAAAAGCTAACAACTAATTTAATATCAATCGTTTTGTGTAAGAAATTGAAAAATTTTGTTCATTCATTGGATTGAGATTAACTCTTGTTTTGTTTATCACTGAAACAATTTAATTTGTTCATCAAAATTAATTGGACTGTCAAGGATTGGGTAATGATTTAGTAATCCAAATCTAATTAAACAGTTGTAGATAAATCAATCAAATCAAAGAGCAACAACAACAACAACAACAATCAAGAGTCTATAAGTGTAATTGATTAAGGAAGAGATTAAGATTCACCATGAAAAGATTGAAAAATCAAATCAAATCAAATCAATAGATTACAAAGTAAATTGATTAACACGAATACTAGAAAATAACAACAATTAAGAGACGCAATTAATGAAATACAGCCAAAGACTTTGAGTTTGCAACCACTTTTTAAATCATTCACGAAGTCAATGATAAGCAAATAAAGATAACTTTTGATATCTAATTAGTTGACCATTTTGAGACTAAATCACTTAAATTAGTGGACAGACTTATCATCATATCTTTGGGTTAACTGTATCTCTCATTGATTATATTCAACTGCGTGAATGATTTAGAAAGTGTTGCAAACTCGAAGTCTTTGGCTGTATAACAATCGATTGGAACAATTAATTACATGATCGAAAAGTGTAACATTTACTTTGGAGAAAAGAAAACGTAATCATTTAGAATGATGATGATTTCGACTTGACAATTAACTTAATTGTTACAATATTATTATTGTTCGAATGTGTATCAAGATAATATAATAACAAATGTTTCGAATTAAAACAAAATAGAGAAGAGAATAAAAAAAATTCCACAAAAAGAAAACGGAAAAAGTTTATCATTAAATTTTTCTTTTCTTTTCCCTGAATATAAATGCTACATCTTTGTTATTAAATCTACATGAAAGTTATGACAAATATTAAACATTATTCTGGTTAAAAAGAAGGAGGAAGAAGATGAAGATGAAGATGAAGAATATAAAAAAGAGAATAGAATGAAATTTGTAGAAGAGTAAAAATAATCTCTCTACTGATTGTACATACATAATACGTTTTTAGTTCTCTCCCTGTTATTAGAAGGAAATATATCGCCTTAGGCGATATGACAAAGAAGAAGAGAAAGTGAAAGACCAATTTTGTAGAAAATTTAGAGAGAGAGAGAGAGAGAGAGAGAGAGAGAATCATCATCATCATCATTCTCATCTTCTTGGTATTAGAAAGAAAAAACTGTATTACGCATTATGTATACATCTACAGTCGGTTGAGATTATTTTTCATCTTTACTCTTTCGAAAATCATCTTTTAGCTTTGACAATTTCTCTTCTTGTTCGTCATCTTGTTCATCATCATGGTGATAGAATTTTATATTCTCATGGATTCATTGTTGTTCTTTGGATGTTCATCAAATTGTTCCTCCTTTGATTTTCTTATTGTCATAATTTTCCATTTGCAAATGTTAATGTTTGAATCAGCGAAATGATGAATAATTTGAGAAGAATCAATTTTTTCATCTCTTTCAGGGTGAAAATTGAGTTTCTTTCATTTTCTCTTCTGGAAAATATAACCTTTTCCTTTTTGCTCCTTCGGTCTAATCGAAACCCTTTTTCTGTTTACAATCAACTTTACATAGAATTTAAATTTTCGAGTTTATCCTTTTAAATTGATTCTTCTTCAATTGCTTTTCCGTATTAGTTTTTCTTTGACATTTTTTTGCTTCCATATTGTACCAAACATGAGAGAGTAAATGAATGAGTGCGTGAGTGAGTGAGATTGAGTGAGAGAGTGAGAGAGAGAAATGAAAATAGTAAAGAATATTTTTCTATTAAGTGTATCAATATATAGAGATGAACAATTTGAGATAAATTCGAGTGATATGATTATGATGATTGATTGTTACCATCTAATCTCAATTGTAGTATCCGGTATGGAGAGAGACAATTAACCACCATGTAATGTTGATATGAAGAGTATCTTGTCGCCATTTTGTAATTTATATTCATTTTCACCTAAAATCTCCCAATCAACATCGTTGACCAGAATTAAAACTCCAGGACGAATCGTCTCATTGACGACAAACAATTCAGGTCTTTCCTTTAAATGTTTCTCCTTTAACAGGTTAATTAGATCCTTAATTGTCCAACAATCACTTAAATCATCACATTTAAATCCAGTTCTTTCCTTGTCTCATTACCAAACAGCAATTCCATTCCACCCTTGAACTCAATCGTAACTTTCAGTGAGGATGATTCTCGATTAGATGACATTTCGCAATTGGAAAAACAATTAACTTTCAAACAATATAATAAATTAAATGATCAACGATAACAAATCACATTAAATTGTAAACAATTAAAACAAGAAAAGGTAAAAATCAAGTGGAAACCATGAGTTTAAATGAGTTACCTGGTTACCGATTGTTGTTTATTGGGGTGGGAATCCAAGGACCGGTTACTTTGAAACCAATTGGTGATTAACCGATAATTAAGTTAATTGTTATCAAATGTTACTACGTAATCAGCATTCCAAATGTGATGAAAAAATGTAATACAATTTAGATAAGTAATCAACAGTTGATTTCAATTGTTTAAAGAGTTGGAATGAGTCAAAATTGACAATCTAATTGTTGATTGTTAACTTTTCGAGAGTGAAAATATTTTTAATTGTTCATATTTCTTATTATCTCTTGATACAATCAGGAAGATAATAATATATATATTTCAGTGGTTTCGGTAACAGGGAGAAGAAAAAAAAATGATCACAGTTAATTTGTAACGAACAGAGAAACGGAAAACAATTTAGATAATTGAGTTGATTGTGATAGAAAGGAAAGAGAGAAAATTATTTAAATGATTGGTCTGATAATACTCCCAATAAGTTAATTGTTCAGAGAGGAGATTTGTTCGTTAATCATCTTGATTGTTGTTCATTTGTCAATCATAAAATTTACACACAATTAACACACTGACAGAGAAATTTAAAGATTAAGATTATGATTATTCACACACAGGCTTTGAATTTGATGCTTTGGTTAATTGTTCTGAATGCGATGGTTTAATGAGTTTGGGAAGACCAATTAGTTGTTAATCATTGTAGTTTTCTTAATTGTGTTGATGTAGATTTTTGATCAGGAGAAGAGCAAATAATTGGCACAATTAATTGGTTGAAATTTGTTTCCTCGAAAAGGCTAAAAATATCTGTTCCAATGAAGTATCACTGATTATGAAATTTTCCAATTGATGTGTTTCCTTAATTGTTTCCATTGTTTTAAAAAGTTGAGACCATTTAAGTGATTTATCGGGTATATGGTAAAATAAATTAACAAAATGATGCTGTTTTAATTCAGCATTTAAGGTAGTTTCAACGGTCGAACGTAAATGTCCAAGATAATCGGGATCCGATATTTTGTCCACTTTGATTTTTATGTACAGACTAAAACCTTGACCGAATTTATGTCTCAAATGTTGTAAACTTCCCAAGCATTTGAACTCTCCACTGACCATTATTGCGATTCGAGAGCAAAGGGTTTCACATTCTTCCATCGAATGACTAGTTAGAACTAAGCAGCAACCTCTTTCTCGAACGGAAGAAAGTAGAATCCACATTCGCCTTCTATTTGCGGCATCAACACCAGCCGAAGGTTCATCAAGGAAAACAACTTTCGGTGAACCAACTAACGACATTGCCAGGCTAAGTTTCGTTTATTTCCACCCGAATAACAACCGGTAACCTTATCTGCATGAAATTGTAAATCAACGTCATTAATTAATTGATTAACTATAACTGGTATACACTTTTCTTCAAGACCTCGAAGTCTACCAAATAGGAATAACATTTCTCGACCCGTTAAACGGTCAATCAGTGCATCATATTGTGGACAATAACCGATACACTGTTGGTAACTTCGTTTATCTTTGGTTATATCGAGATCACAAATGTAAGCCGATCCATGGCTTGGCAATATGTCACCGACCAGCATTTTAAATGTGGTCGATTTACCCGCCCCATTGATACCCAACAGTCCGAAACATTCATTTTGACGGACACCAAAGGTAAGACCTTCAACCGCTCTAAATTTACGATATTTTTTCTTCAAATCGATGACACTTAGAATGTCCTGATCGATTGTACATCTATTTCGCTCAGCGTAAACACGATGTCTTTCAGCGGTCACATCGGAGTCTTCACTTTCGATGTTACGTCGACGGGGATCTTCATCAACATACGAGGTATGAATCGAAAGTCGGGTCAACAAGGAATCTTTTAAATCATTTAACCATTCAAGTCGATCATAGTAAAACTCAAGGATTAAAAGGATAACGATAAAAATGGCCGCTTCGGTGACCAGTTGAGTTAATCCAGGTAAAACTCCGTATTCCCATGACAACGGGTCACGATATTTGAAACAATCGTCAGTTTTTTCACAAATATCTAAAAATGAGGAAAAAGTTAAATTAACAACAATTAATGAAATCAAGGTGATTCATCTGAATTTGAGTAATAAAACTATCTAATAAAATAAGTAAATAAATAATAAACACTTACTGGGACAACATCGATAAGTCATATCGGTGTCAGAAACGGTTGCGTTGACACATTGAACTTCAAGTACTTTGGGCATAACTTGACCACAGACCTTTGCCTCGAGGGCAAGACTGAAAGCTTTCACAATTGCACTGGTCATTGCATGAAGAGGGAAAAAGCTAATAATCAAATCGAAGGCACTTTTAAATGTATGCGAAACTATTTTAGGTACCAAACTTTCAATGATAAAATCGATAATGGCCATCATGACACCGAAAACAAGGAAAAGAAGTACCAGAAAAGAGTAACCAATACTTGGACGATCAAAAATAAATGAGAAAATATATGCCAAAGGAATGGAAGCAACTCCGCTTGCAATCAGTGAAAGAAGAAAAGCCACTGTAACAATTAAGAATAGAACAGAAAAATAATTAGAGATTAATTAACTGAAGAATTGATGTTTTCTATCATATAAACTTACATTGGATATTGATATCGTCATGGAAGATCATTTGGAAATCTAGAAGCAAAATGACCGCAAATATACAACAGGTACAAATAATATGAATCAACATGTCGACAAGAAAATGGGCCAGCCAGTATAAAATGGGATGAAGTCCGGTCATTATTTGTAATAGTTTGGCTTTTGAGCTTCTTTCCTGGATGGGAACCAGAACATGACTAGCAGCTAGAAAGGGCATCGTGATTTGTACTAAAACACTCCAAAGACGAGGTCGAAGAGCGGTTGAAATGATTGGCTGAAGAAGGTCACCTTTGGAAGGAAATGGATAATTGTAAGTAGAGAAACGGAAAAGAGGCTCATGTAAAGTGCCACCCGCTGATACGAAAACAGGTAACAATGAACCTGATCCAATTTCACTTGCTTTTCCTCCTCCGTTCATCGTTGGTATCGGTGGTGAGGTCGAAGCTGTTATATTACGATAAACAGTATCGAATAGTAAATTAATTGCAATCGGAAGGGAATGAAGAGCTTCCTTATTGTAATAGATTTTCAATTCGCGATCAGTATATTCCATGGACACTATGTAATCGTGGATATATTGATTGATTGACAATATCTCCCCTTGACGCAACATATAATCATCGACCGAAGTTGTTGAATTAAGGTAGCCGACTGTTGCATATTCAGCTTTCATCACTTCGCTAAACTTTTGACCAAAATCAGCGGCATCACCCGATGGATTTGAGTAAAGAGCATTAGTATAACCGTAAAGATGTTGTAAACTTAATTGTACCGTTTGTTTGAATAATGAAACCATACCGACAATTTTTTGATCCAATATCATGATTAAGGCAAACATAAGAGTGGGAATGAGTATTTGAAATAAGATCACTTTCCAGTAACGTTTAGCGTAATTGTAACGCTTAATTAAAAGTGCTTTCATCCGTTGGAATAGAAGATGACATCCAGTAACGAAAAAACTGTCGGGTGAAGATAATCTTTGACACCCAATTGGTCAACTTGTTGATTGCTTGAAGAATGAGCTTGTAGATTGTTGGGGAAATCAGAGTTAATTAGCTGATTAGATGTTGATCTATATAAACCATTGCTTCCACTTGAAACACTGTTTTGCTCAGTTTCTTCCGTTTCCGCTTCGACTACTCGAATGAAAACTTCTTCCAATGTTGTGTAGCTCAATCCCCATGAAGAGATTTTTAAAGAATCTTTTTTAACCTCAAGTTCGTCAAAAAATTCCGTGAAAACATTGGAATTGGACAATTCTTGAGGTAGGGCATAGATCACTTCACCTTCAACAGCGTAATTCAATTTGGCTCCCGGGAAATGATTCTGTGTGATTGTTGTCAGATCTTGGACTGAACTTTCCTCCGTTTTGGCTACTCTCAATTCGTATCCAGTTCCAAAAAGCCTTTTCAAATACATGGGTGATCCAAAACAGGCCAGTTTTCCTTTTCGTAAGATGGCAACTCGTTCACCGATTGCATCGGCTTCCTCGATAAAATGAGTTGTCATTATGAGCGTTTTTCTACTTTTCATCTCATTCAATATGTTCCAAACATCCCGACGAGAACCTGGATCTAAACCGGCCGTTGGTTCATCTAGAATGATTATCTCTGAATCTCCAATTAGAGCGATACCTAAATTAAGACGACGTCTCATTCCACCTGAAAGTGAATTAGGTCGAAGAGATTTGTAATCGGTTAGTTTAACATCTTCAGCGATTCTTTCAACTTCCATTTTTAACTTTTTCCAAGGAACTCCTTTGATAGCACCATAGAGCATTAAATGACCTTCGACACTTAACTCAGGCTGCAGTACATTAGCTTGTGGACAGAAACTAAGATTTCGACGAGCATCAGTTGTTTCCTCGAGAATATCGTGACCATCAATAACAACTGACCCACTGGTCGGTGATATAAGTCCAATAATGATGGACATTAAAGTTGTCTTACCAGCGCCATTTTCACCAAGTAACATGGTTATCTGCCGATGGGGAATATCAAGAGATACGTTGTTAACTGCAATCGCTGGTGGATTATGTCCATCAAACTCTTTAAGAACATTTCGAATAGAGATTTTAATCTCATCGGAAGGAGCCAAAGGTTCAAAATGATCATGATTCCAATCTAGTGGCTCTTCTTGGTTCTCTTTTTTCCTTGGCTTGTAACGGAACAGAGAGTGAAGTGGAAACAGCCAAGGTTTCGAGATACCATATTGGGTGGGGATCACATTTTCCAGGTAATAAATTAAAGGTATATACAGGAAGGTCGTCACTGATAAGATGATAAGTATCTTACCAAGTGAAAGTTCACCAAAAACGGACGCAGGTTCAAATAGATTACCCCAATTGGCACCATAACCATAGATCTCTTTCTGTTGGATCACTCGAATGGCCAAAGTTAACGCCATGTTTGGCAAGAAACAAGCAACAAACCTCAACTCTCTTGTCTCGATAACATCAACCAGCTTATTTGTGGCCGGGTCAATATAATAAGCGGGTATAATTTGTAGTGCCCAAGCGATGACACCAACAACCACTGCGGAGATGGGACGATTAAAGGGAATGGACAAAGCCATAGCGGTCAGCATAAAGTTCAATCCCCACAAGGCGATGATAAAGAAAACAAGAGACGGCGATGAATAGTTAAAAACACAAGCGTAACCATTGATAAATTTCATGGTAAACAAAGCGGTAACAATTATCGCTTGAACCAGAAAGATGGAATAATGATTTACAAGGTGAACAAACCAATAGATCCAGTCCATTAGTCCAGTGATTCGATACATTTCTCTAATTTGATTTGATTTTTCGGCAGTGATTCGTTTAACAATCAGAACATAAGTTATAATAAAACTAAAACCAGAACCCAGGGGGTTAAATCTGATAGATTGTCACTTGCGGTGGTATGAGATGGATATGGAAATCGGTATCCATTGACCAAACCAGATGAGAGCACTTTGGTCATGTTTAATTCAATTTCGGGAAATTTTTCGGTCAAATAAGCCAAATTAAGGAGAGTTTGAAGGTTAGAGAAAACGTTATAAGGTGATTCGGGGCAAGGATATGAATTTGTTTTAACACAGAAAGTTGTTTTCAACCATTGGGGCATTCGTGACCTAATGGTGTAGGTAAATCCAGGAGAATTGGCCTTTTCTTTTTCAAATATGACTCCGTAAATGATTGCATTTGGATCGATGGCGATCATCTTAAGATACTCATTGTATAATTCATCCGTTGTGCTGAAATTTTTAAATATCGGTAGTGTACCTTGAAGGGCCAGTTTGGTCTCGATAATATTCATTAATCGCACGGTGGGTTCATCGTCTGGTGTGTAGAAAATATTGGAATAACTAAAAGCACTTGGGTTAAAACTGAAAGAGGGACTGGGATAAGTTTGAGCTGGTACACGGGACGAAGTACTTGAATCGGGTAAAGTTCCCAGTCTTATGAGAACATAAACAAAAATGACCGATATTGTTAAAGGAATTAACAGTTCAAAGGTAAATTCTAGAAGATGATTACGACGAACAGCCCATGATTTCCATAGCATGATCTTCATTTGTTGATTGATTTTCTCACGGCCACACTTTACGGTCTCCAAACGAGCCATGGTCGTCCCAATTTAACTAACAATCAAGGGGAACAATTTTAAACCAGGAAAATTAAGAAAATATCAGCAAAGAGATGACCAGAATCCAAGGGAAGGAGAAAAAATGATTTACCTCAAAAAACTCAGGTAATCAAATGAGATGGAACATTTCAGTTGAATCTGATGATGATGAGAAATCAATTGTTGACCTGACAATTTATACTCTGTATTGGAAACAAATAGTAAGTTCAATCATTTGTATGTTGAACCAGCAAACGTCAATATTTATAGAAACAATCAGCAACTCGTAGCAACCATTTACTATTGAATTGAAATGGAGAAAATAATAGAATTAATTGTTTTATAGAAGATGAAGCGAGAACAAAACTGACGCGCTTTTGGTAAGATAATTAAAGAGTAATTGTGATTTTCATGGGTAGACTATGGTGGTAATCAAGTTGTAGATGATGTTAATTGTGGTGATGATGTTTAGAGTAATAAAATTAAGGTAAATCGTATTGTAGATGTTGATGAATCATAATTTGAACGGCGATAAAAACAAAAGGAGGAGCAGAGAATAAAAAAAATGGCTTCTGAAAAAGAAACAGAGAAAGAGAAACGATTAGAAATGACAAATTAAGATTATCACAATTGATTGGGTAACTATTCACGACCGAAGATTAGATTAAAACAATTGAAAATATAAATCACAACAATTAATCAAAAAGAAAACAATTGCCATTGAAATTGAAGGAGAAACAAAAAGATGATGAGGATAAATAGAAACAAGAGATTCTATCATTTAATTACACTTACTGAATAGAAGAAGATTATTTACCATTTTATGGATTAATTGTTGTTCTAATTTAGGGGATAAACATGATTTTAATCATCAACAATTAGAATTGTAAAAAAATAAACACAAGAGAAAAAGAAAAATTGAAAACAGTTTTTATTTTTTTCTTTTGACTTTTTTCTGTATCCCTAACATATGTTGAGAGAAAGAGAGAAAGAGAGAGACTTTCTCAGTGAAGAGAAAGAGAAATGAGAAAGTGAGAGTGGGAGGAGAGAGAATTGGATAATAAAAAGAGAGGGAGATGAACATGGAGAGAGAGAGAGAAAGAGTAAAAATTAATCAATTGTATCACAACAAAGCTGTTAATTGTTAATTAAAGGTCGCAGATAAAAATTCATCTCCAATTGTGATAGTTGATGTGTTCCAATGTTGTTACCTGAATGGGGGTTAAGGTTTACAACTAATTATCATTATCATCATGTTCATTCAACTGGTTAGGGTTAAAGGTTAAGACGAGAAAGTTAAAGTGATTCGAGTACAACAATTTGTATTAGATTTAAAGATTAGACTTGAATTAAGAATTGCTTGTCTAATTAACATGAATTAATGTACATTGTGTGTTTAGTGTTTGGTGTTTGCATCTTTCCTTGAGTTTGTTTTGACTTTTTTTTTGGTTTCGATTAACTATTTACCATCATAATCATCATCCTGCTTTTGAATTTGTTGATTAAAAAATTGTTGATTTCAAGTCCGATGACAGAAAATTCTGTGCTAAAAGGGTAGGTCAAAGTTGGAGAGAATTTGTTGTGAGAAAGAGAGAGATAGTGACAATTTAGAGATCAAAGAACAGAAAAAAAAATTATAAATTCTAAGAATAGGAAGTTGTAAGAATGAGGAAGAGGTAAACATGGTTGTGAAAATTGATTGAGAAAGTTAATTGCAATCAAAAGAGAGCTCAGTAAATTGTTGATTCCATTGTTATTGCTGTGTTGTTATCCTTTTAGGTTTGTTAAATATTTGATTAACAATTTGATTGACTTGTTTTGTTGTGGCTGTGGTGATGTTATTATAGATGATGTTATTATTATTTATGAATATTTAACACCAATCAATGTCTCCTTTGGAACCAATTTTTTGGTGATGATCATTTTCCGCTTTTAGCATGATGATTACAATTTATATAAGGATTGCAATAGTATTTAAAAAAACAGAGGCAAGAGATTAATGAAGAACGAAAAACAAAACAAAACAAATACAAGATAAAAATAGATAAAGAAGCAAAAATGGCACAAAGGTTAGGGGATATCGGAAATTGGGGCGTTTTGTGATTACAATTAGTAGGTAATTAAGAGCAATTTTTACCACAGAGAGGGAGAGAGAGAGAGAGAGAGAGATTAATCAAATTTCATTTGAGTTTATGGATATTCATCATTAGTGAATGGGTTTTATCCAAAGAAAGGGGCAACATGGATCCAAACACACGACAAAAGGAGTTGACCTTTAATCTTGACAAAATTTTTCGGTGGTTTTGCTTTTATTTTATTTCCTTGATTTTCCTTAGGGATATAGTGGTCATAAGTGCTGGCGCTTTTTCTCCGTTGATAATCCAAAGGGATTCCAAGTTCATGAAGAATCAGCCAAGTGAAACATTGCTTTTCTTTCCTACCAAGATGTGGTTGTTGACAGAAAGCTCTTTGTGTATACAGTTGGTGGTTTGAGAATTAAAATAATAAATATTTTCAAATAAAGACAGAAAACGGTTGTAAGTCTTGAACGAAATTAAGAGAGAGAGAGAGAGAGAGAGATAGAGGATTGTGATGAGGAGGGAAAAGTAGGAGACTAGAAATGTGTAAATATTGTGAACGTTAAAAGTCATATTTTACACTATTGCAATAACATTGTGATTCAAGTAAAAGGTTGAGAGAGAGGGAGTGAAAAGGAGATTTTCTTTGAAAGATAAAATGAACATTAATGAATTATAATTGAAAACAAGAATTAACTAAACATTGTCAATAGAGATAAAGAAAGAGAGAGAGAGAGAGAGAGAGAGAGAGAGAGAGAGAGAGAGAGAACGCAATCGAATAGCACCATTATTAGATCTGATAGAAGAAAACAATAAAGTTGATCCAGGTAATTTTCGGGTTGCAATTTCTCTGTAATTATAGTTTTTATGTGATTAGAGATGGACTTGATGTGTGTAAATGTGGATGATGATAAAGATGATGACATTGTGATAATGAAGTGTGTGTGGTAGTGTAGGTGCTTTTAAAGATTAGTAATAGAAGCAATGTTGATGATGTAAGTTGAGAGAGAGATATGGTGACAAGGACTGATTTCACTCATTAACCTTGATAGAAACAATTATTCTTGATAACAAGAGATTTACTTTGTTTTTGATTATCAAGAATAAAACAATCGAGTAACAGTAATTATGTGATTCAGCAATCGATTATCTCTGGGCACTGGCCAGTCCAAGAGAAGAGGAAAGAAGAAAAAAGTTTATCATTTGAAAAAAGGAACACATCCGTATATAAATGAATTGTTGGCAACATTTTCGGAGGAAGTGATGGCGAAAGTATATTATATTATGTAATATTAATGAAAAATTAAGAGCGAGAGAAAGAGAGAAAAGAACAGGTAAACTTTTTATACTCCAATTGTTTAGACACTTGATATCATCAACTGGACTGTTATTGGCCCACCAAAAGTTTATTTTTTTCCAATCAATTTGATTCTTTTTGAATGAGAAACAAAGTAGATGATGAAGATGATTATGATAGTAAGATTTTTGTGGATCGAGAAGAGAAGAAAAAATCACGATTTATAACGTAAATTGTTTGCTAAAATTGTTTAGATTCCTTTGTATATTCTTTCGTCTAAATTTCTCGTAACCTCAATTTCGAATCATTTGTTCGTCAAAATTTGTTTGTTTACACTCATTTCCATGATGACCATAAGCACCACAATTATAACAACTGACCACTGAAGATTTAGCTGTTTGAAATGTTGCCGCTGCTGCAACTAGTGAATTAACTCCGGTTGTTATTGGTGTTGGCATTCCGGTGAAAGGACTTGCAGTTATCGGTCCATTGGCTGTTTGAAAGTGAGGCCAATAAGGTGTTGTGGTTGCAGCTGAATTACCGAAAGTCGATGCTGCCGCAGCCATTGCAACAGCGTAATAATAATTAAACAGTTGTTCTGTTGCTTGAGCTGGTGAAGTGTAACCATTGATGAGAGGAGCTTGAGTTGGTATTGGAGGTGGTGGAAAATAGAACCAGTAAGGATGCATAGGAGATGTTGACATAGTTGTTGGTTGAGCAGAAACCGATGATTGCACTGAACCAACATGATTAATTGGATGTTGACCAGATAATGAGGTTGGTGGTGGTGTTGATGAAGGTGTTGTAGCCAGTGAATTACTGTTACTAAAACTACATGTACATGTATATGAACAGCTTTGGCAACTTGTTGTGGCTATAACAGGAGTAGGTGAATGGCCTTTAAGGACAGTGGATGTTTCAATTATTGGTGTGGTAACGGTGCTTGTTAAAGTTGGCGGTGGTAATAGTGGTGCTATTGTTGATGGTGGTACAGCTGATGGGATTGTTTTAAGAGTTGACTCACTAGGTAAGGGTATACAGTTTGTTTTATGATCATTTAAATTTGATTTAAGAGATAATTTACTGGTTAAATTGACCAGTTGAGATTGTTGTAAATCTGTGATAGAATTGGTTGGTGGGACAACCGGGATATTTGGTGGTGTGGTTGAGGAGGAAAGCGAATTAGCTGAGGCAGTGGCAGCAGCAGCGAACATAACAGCATCCATCCATTGTTGAACTTTTTGAAGCTGTTCGCTGAGGAGAGTTTGTTGATCAAAAGTGAAAGCTGGATGATGTATGGCAAGGGTATGGAGTAAAACAATTTCTGAATAAAATTTGTTATCCAAAACCAGATGAGAATAACCAGTAAGTTCATTGGGTGAACGATTTAAATTGTGATGCATTGCGGTGGTTGGTGATTCTTTATGAAGATTTCCTGGTTTACTTGAAACTGGATTCAAATTAAGAGGGCAGGTTGGTGTTGGAGTTGATCCACCACCGCCACCACCATTGGTATAACCATTTGCGGTTGTTGTATCCATTACAGAACCAAATAGGTGACGAGAAATATTTTCAAGGCAAAGTTGACTTCGGAAAGCCTTGTAAACTAAAGTGGCACAAACACGGTTTGTTGAATTCAATAGACACAAATAAACAACAATCTTAGATCGTACTGAGCTTAAGTGTTTATCCATTGAATTAGAATCATTATGAATTGATAGACTTGATCCACCATTAACTGGAACAGAGTTACCGTTACAAATGGTTCCATTCATTGGTTGACCATTGATTACATCACCGATATGATGATGATCATCTGGTTGAGGACCAATATCAGCAGCAAGCCAATCTAATTGAGTAAGTTTCTCTAATTCTTCTAAGGAATTTGCTTTAATTTCGGCTTCTTTAAGCGAATTATAATCTCGTTTAGCTGCTTGTTCAAGGAAAGTGGCAAAAAATCTCCACTCCAAGGGTATACAAAGGTTAAGGAGGCCACACATTAGCTCAATACGTTTACCACCAGACAGTTTTTTAAACCAGTCGAAAACATCTTCTTTACATATAACCACCATTTTAATGTGAAGCAAGTGAAGACAAAAAGTACGATTGTATTACGATGAAACTAGAATCAGTTTTTTTTCTTTTCTTGGTAAATAACAAAACTTCCTTATTTAGGTCTATTCAACAGTAGCTGTTTACCAGAAATTATTATGTGAGTGAGAGAGCTTAGTCACTTGAACCAGAAAGAGAAAGAAGAGAATTTCTGTAGAATAAAAATTGGGTAAGAGAGAGAAAGCAGAGAAATGTTAGTAAATGTTGGTAAGTGAAAGATTGAAAAAGGGAAATAAGGTGAGTAAGTTGAAGAAAAGTGAGTGAGTGAGACAGAAAGAAGAAAGGTAAAAATAACTGGAAACATCCAATTAAAGGAAGGAAGCCCAAGGAAAAGAAGAAGGAAGAGATTTTGAAGGTTAGTCATTCACATGGAAAAGATGATGCACCGGTGAGTAGAAAAAAGAAAGATAAATAGAAAGAGAAAAATGTAAAACAAGTGAAAGGGAAAGAGAGAGAAAAAGATTAAAATAAAACAATAATTACCTGAAATGTGTGAAGAACTGGTGGATAATCTACTAGACCAAAGGAACGATTGATAAATATACCAACAGGAGAAATAATTTGAAGGTGGAAAACTGAGAAGGTGATTTAATCACAAGAGAGAAGAGAGAGAGAGAGAAAGAGAGAGAAGAAAAAATGGACCAGTAAATGTATCAAAAATTTCCCTTGTGCACAAGGTGAAAGGAAAGATTGTTTATATTTTTTTCTATAGATGACAAGATATCACTTATTTCTTTCAATTGTATTTCCTTAATTACTTATTTTTATGATGATTTGATCGAAAAAAAGAGAATGAGAGATGATATTTATACTTTAGAGAAAATGAAAAATTGCAAATAAATCAAGAGGTTTGTTTGAGAATCTGAAATTACAGAGAAATTAGAAGAAAAAAGAAAGAAGAAATTGAATAAATTGTTAGTTAGATAAAAAGAAGAAATAAATTTCAAAGGGAAATTAGAACGAGCGGAAAGTGAAAAAGAAAGAGACACAAGAGATGAAGATGGTTGTGAGAGAGAGAAAAGGAGAAAGAGAACAGATCAAAACAACAGAAAAGACGAAAAACCGAGAGCAAAGTAGAGAAACTTTGCTGTGTTTCTCTTTCTTTTTCTCTTTCTTTTTACAGATCAACCATTCTTTCTACTAGTGGCTCCATCTCGCGAGACCGAATCATATGATTCTTTAGGTTCATGTTCGATGTTGTAAATATTTAAAGATCCAAACAAACCCACTCTAATCAACCTGAACCTCAGACAAGACAATTATTACCAGAACACTCTTGTGTAGCCCGCACACTGGCAGGCATCCCCCCACCAACAAAATAAAATAGATGTTGTTTCTTGTCTACTCTTTGGTCTAAGCTGATTGTTGAAGAAGTTGAACTGAAGTTGATTGAATTTTGATATGAAAAAAAGGAAGGAAACTTTTTTCGTTTGAATAATTTTATTTGAAAAGAGAAAAGGGATAAAAGACAGAGAGAGAGAGAGAGGAAGAGGAGAGAGGAGGAGTGAGAAAGAGAGAAAGGAAAGAACGAAATGAAAAGAGTAGCCCACAGAGAAGTAACAATGGCGATTTGTACGAATTTTAGTTTGAAAACTGATCATCAGGTTGAAATGTCTTCCTTATTATTGCTGTTTTCTCGTCTTCGATCAGTATTTCAACAGGAGCTTTGGGTCGATTGACCAATTCAAAGGCATAAGGAATAGCCTCAAATGGTTTCACTGATTTGAAACGATATCTTAACAAGAGACGTGATAATATCATCTTCAATTCCATATAAGTAAACCTTTGACCCAGGCAACCTCTTTTACCACCGGAAAAGGGGAGAAAGGCAAATGGTGGTATTGATTTAATTTTATCGCCAAGGAATCGATCAGGATTAAAGACTTGAGGATCAGGATAAATTTCGGGATCTTGGTGAAGATTAAATATGGAAAGGGTTACATTCTCCTTTGGAATCACATATGGACCATAGGTAATATCTTCGTCCAAAATTCGTTGAAGAAAGGAACAGGGGACGAATACGAAGACATTCTTTATTACAGCTTCCGTGTAGGTCAATTGGCCGAGATCATTCCAAGAATACGGAAAGGCATCTTCCAATTTATCCTTCATTTCCTGTAAACACGATCTTGAATCTCAACATGAGTTCCCAACAATTGAATTACCCATGTAAGTACAACACCCGCAGGATCGTGTCCCGCTTCAATGAAAGTGTTCACCTCGTCTTGCATATCGATCTCACTTATTTTCAATGATTCATCAGTAATTGAGTCATCTAAATGATGGCGTAAAAGGATGTCCATCAAATTGGGTCGCTTTTTGGAAGAGAAAATGTCATCCTCTGCAACGCTTGGTTTTATTGCCGTTGTTGTTGTTTTTATTGTTGTTGTTGTTGTTGTTGAACCATTCGATTTGGAAGATACTTTGCAACCATTGGAATTACAATTGTTATCATTTAGGTCATTACCATTATTAATCATGTTTTCTTTTTCTTTTTCTTTCATTTTTTCTTCTTCTTTTCTCTTTAACAGCTCAGATTTCCATTCATTGATGATTTGGGAAAATTCGTTTATAGTATCAATGTCCTTCTGATACTCTTTTCCAATCTCAGCTCGATAAAAGATAAAATCAAACCAATAGTGAGGATTAAATAATCGAGTGATTACCCTCTTTTTTAGATTCATTATGGCACGAACATAAGATGAATTTGGAACGTTAATTGCATCCGGAGAAACTCCCAAAACGGTATCACAAACAATATCCAACGAAGCTCGAGGCATCAGCTCTTTAATATCGAAAACTGAACCAACTGAGCTTTCCAAGTATTTCGCCAATGATTCTGCATGTTTACCAACAGTTTCAACAGAATTTCGAAGATTATCAATATGGAAAGCAGGTTCCAGCATTTTCCTTCGTGATCTCCATTTACTGGGATGTTGAGTTAATAGACCAAGTCCCATTTGTGGATGCCAAAGTAGTACACATCACCTTTTCTAGATGTTTCGAACTAGACAAAACTAACTGAATATATCCACATCCACATTCACATTCAAATATCAAAAAAAGAAAAAGAAAAACCCAAACCAAAAAAGAGAGAAAATCAAAATATTAATTGGCGCAAATTTAAATATTCAAGTTGAGGAATGAGGAAAAAAATGGCGATACCAATGAATAGAAGGGTAGAAAAATAGAAGAACAAGACATGGAAAAGAATAGAGAAAAAATAATCAAAATATTAGAAGATCAAAAAAAGAAAAGATATCATGTCAAGTATCATTTAAAAGGCGAATTTAAATAAATACAATTGTTACAAGTAAATTTAGAGACTCACCTTAATTGATTGATAATTAGTTAAGAAAACCATAGGTTTCCAGAAAACCCAAATTAAAAAAACTCCTTCTTTTAGTGCTAATTGAGCATTTCGCATAAACTGTATTTGAACTGATTAGAAAAAGATAAGAGAAAAGAGAAAAGAATAGAACAAAAAAAAAGAAGATTAGAATGATGACCAATTAAGGTTATCACCAAGGGACAATTAAACTAAAATTTTCTTTTAAAATCGATCATTTGACTTACGTTGTTGCTCTGCAAGTTCTTCGCTTTTAAATAAGCTCGTCTTTGTTTCAACAAGATTACCGAGTAACCAGTGGCCCTAAGGTGAGGAATTTGGAAAATGTTGAACAATTTTAAAACGGTTGTAAATAAATTTAATTAATCCAAGTAAAGCCAAGGTGAGTGTCAATCGAGTTAATGTCACAAGTGAACTAAATTCAATCATGATGGTGAAAAATGAAAACAATTGATGAACAAATCGCTTCCCAGTAGAGGAAATAAACAGAGTGAGTTCAAAAACAGAGGAACAGAGGAACAGATGTAAATATATCACAAAGAGAATTTTCTTTTTTTTTTCTTCTTTTCTTAATCCCCTTTACCACCTCCTTCTTTACCAATCTCTCCACTTTAACCCGCCAACCAAAGTGACCATCGCATTATTTTATCGCAAATATTTTCCATCATCTTTGTCTTCTAAACCAATACCATCACCATTTCTCTCTCAGTCTCTTATCATGTTGATTGTTTTTCTTGTTTGATTATTTTTTCGGTCATCAAAAGGTTCTCTCTCTCTCTTTCTATCTGTCTTTTTTTTTCATCTTGTGTTCGTTTTATCATCTACTTCTCTATCTCACCCCGTGGGTTTCATGTGTTTCTATCATCTTAATTATCACCTCATTTCATCTCAAGTATCACATATATAAATTAGTTTGACCAACAATTAATTTACTCTTTCTTTCATTCTCTTGCTGTGTTATTCTGTTGCTCTGTTTTTCATATTGCTTCCTTGGTCTCACTTGTTCTGTTTATTTCCTCTACTGGGAAGCGATTTGTTCATCAATTGTTTTCATTTTTCACCATCATGATTGAATTTAGTTCACTTGTGACATTAACTCGATTGACACTCACCTTGGCTTTACTTGGATTAATTAAATTTATTTACAACCGTTTTAAAATTGTTCAACATTTTTCCAAATTTCCTCACCTTAAGGGCCACTGGTTACTCGGTAATCTTGTTGAAACAAAGACGAGCTTATTTAAAAGCGAAGAACTTGCAGAGCAACAACGTAAGTCAAATGATCGATTTTAAAAGAAAATTTTAGTTTAATTGTCCCTTGGTGATAACCTTAATTGGTCATCATTCTAATCTTCTTTTTTTTTGTTCTATTCTTTTCTCTTTTCTCTTATCTTTTTCTTTTTTTTCTAATCAGTTCAAATACAGTTTATGCAAAGAAATGCTCAATTAGCACTAAAAGAAGGAGTTTTTTTAATTTGGGTTTTCTGGAAACCTATGGTTTTCTTAACTAATTATCAATCAATTAAGGTGAGTCTCTAAATTTACTTGTAACAATTGGATTCATTTAAATTCGCCTTTTAAATGATACTTGACATGATATCTTTTCTTTTGTTGATCTTCTAATATTTTGATTATTTTTTCTCTATTCTTTTCCATGTCTTGTTCTTCTATTTTTCTACCCTTCTATTCATTGGTATCGCCATTTTTTTCCTCATTCCTCAACTTGAATATTTAAATTTGCGCCAATTAATATTTTGATTTTCTCTCTTTTTTGGTTTGGGTTTTTCTTTTTCTTTTTTTGATATTTGAATGTGAATGTGGATGTGGATATATTCAGTTAGTTTTGTCTAGTTCGAAACATCTAGAGAAAGGTGATGTGTACTACTTTTGGCATCCACAAATGGGACTTGGTCTATTAACTCAACATCCCAGTAAATGGAGATCACGAAGGAAAATGCTGGAACCTGCTTTCCATATTGATAATCTTCGAAATTCTGTTGAAACTGTTGGTAAACATGCAGAATCATTGGCGAAATACTTGGAAAGCTCAGTTGGTTCAGTTTTCGATATTAAAGAGCTGATGCCTCGAGCTTCGTTGGATATTGTTTGTGATACCGTTTTGGGAGTTTCTCCGGATGCAATTAACGTTCCAAATTCATCTTATGTTCGTGCCATAATGAATCTAAAAAAGAGGGTAATCACTCGATTATTTAATCCTCACTATTGGTTTGATTTTATCTTTTATCGAGCTGAGATTGGAAAAGAGTATCAGAAGGACATTGATACTATAAACGAATTTTCTTCCCAAATCATCAATGAATGGAAATCCCGAGCTGTTAAAGAGAAAAAGAAAGAAGAAAAAGAAGAAGAAAAAATGAAAGAAAAAGAAAAAGAAAACATGATTAATAATGGTAATGACCTAAATGATAACAATTGTAATTCCAATGGTTGCAAAGTATCTTCCAAATCGAATGGTTCAACAACAACAACAACAACAATAAAACAACAACAACGGCAATAAAACCAAGCGTTGCAGAGGATGACATTTTCTCTTCCAAAAAGCGACCCAATTTGATGGACATCCTTTTACGCCATCATTTAGATGACTCAATTACTGATGAATCATTGAAAATAAGTGAGATCGATATGCAAGACGAGGTGAACACTTTCATTGAAGCGGGACACGATCCTGCGGGTGTTGTACTTACATGGGTAATTCAATTGTTGGGAACTCATGTTGAGATTCAAGATCGTGTTTACAGGGAAATGAAGGATAAATTGGAAGATGTGCCTTTCCCGTATTCTTGGAATGATCTCGGCCAATTGACCTACACGGAAGCTGTAATAAAAGAATGTCTTCGTATTCGTCCCCCTGTTCCCTTTCTTCAACGAATTTTGGACGAAGATATTACCTATGGTCCATATGTGATTCCAAAGGGAGAATGTGTAACCCTTTCCATCTTTAATCTTCACCAAGATCCCGAAATTTATCCTGATCCTCAAGTCTTTAATCCTGATCGATTCCTTGGCGATCAAATTAAATCAATACCACCATTTGCCTTTCTCCCCTTTTCCGGTGGTAAAAGAGGTTGCCTGGGTCAAAGGTTTACTTATATGGAATTGAAGATGATATTATCACGTCTCTTGTTAAGATATCGTTTCAAATCAGTGAAACCATTTGAGGCTATTCCTTATGCCTTTGAATTGGTCAATCGACCCAAAGCTCCTGTTGAAATACTGATCGAAAGACGAGAAAACAGCAATAATAAGGAAGACATTTCAACCTGATGATGATCAGTTTTTCAAACTAAAATTCGTACAAATCGCCATTGTTACTTTTCTTCTCTGTGGGCTACTCTCTTTTTCATTTCGTTCCCTTTCCCTTTCTCTCTCTTTCTCTCACTCACTCACTCTCACTCCTCTCTCTCTCTGTCTTTTATCCCTTTTCTCTTTTCAAATAAAATTATTCAAACGAAAAACGTTTCCTTCCTTTTTTCATATCTAAATTCAACTTTTCATTTCCATTCACAATCAGTTTACATGTAAATATTTACTGTTTTCATCCATCGTAATCAACGGAGAATTAATTTTACAATCGAAATGAAACAAAAAGCGAATCAATCAAAATTAACTAATCAAACCAGTCCAGTGATTGGAGAGAAAAAAAATAAGAGAAGAAAATTAGAATTATAATTTCTCTTCAATTTCGCCTGAAGCGATTCAAAGGTTCTTACCTTTGGTTATCATGCAGAAGAGAAGAGAAAATATCAAGGTAAACAATTTTATCTTCCATTTCTTAGCAACAATCATTTTCCAATCGAAACGAATCAAAATATTCTCATTCGATAGAAAGTTTCTCTTTTGTTCCAATTGATCAACTAATTGTTACATCGAACAGCTAATTAATTATGACAAATCGAAACACGAATAAAAACCAATCACTTTCGATAAATCGAAGAGAATTTTCTTCTACTATTCTAATAACTTTTCCATCAAATTTCATTTGAATTTGGAATTATCCTGTTAATCAAAATTTCGATTAATTATCAATTTAACTTTTTCCTGTTCGATCAGTTTAAAAGTTTCGTTTCTTTTTGTACACAAATTTGTTTTCTTTTTCGTTTCTAGTCCATGACCGAGTTTCATGAACATTTAGAAACTTTCGAAAGTTAATTTCAGTTCGAGTATCAAAAGTATCGCTTTAATATTTTTCTTCGTCGTAAAAGAATCGCAATCGCAATCGAATCGTTTTTCTTTGTTTTCCTTTCATATAAACAAAATATTCTCTCTCTCTCTCTCTCTCTCTCTCAGAATTTCTCGATTCAATTTCTCTCTCACCGAGGAAGATGAAAGAGAGAAAATCATAAAAAAAGAATCCGAAACTCGTCTTGTTTATAATAATATCGCAATAAGAATTCATTAAGATTCACACTCCCCTTTTATCTTCCTCTCTCTCTCTCTCTCAACCTCTGTCTCTCTCTGTCTCTCTCTTTCTCCCCTGTCACCTTCTTAATTATCCTCATCCATCTTCCTCCTCTCTCTTTCTCTCTTTTCTCTGTCTTCATCTGTCTTTTTTTCCAATTTCTCTTACACAATCATTTTCTCTCTTCATGTTTCCAGTTTCTTTTTTTCTCAATTTTTTTTTACTTTTCATTACCTTTGTTTCTCTAATTGTCCTATTCTTATTTTCATAATTAATATTTTCTCTTCTAAATTTACCTCTACAATCCTGTTATTCATTTAGATCATGTGTTAAATCACCATAAACATAATTACCAACAATTAACTAACAATTTCCACATCTCTAGTAGCGATTAAAACTCAGCTACCTTGGGAAATTTTCTCGGTGTTTGTGTTAGTGTTTCAATCGTTGCAAACGCAATTTCGGCCTCACAATTAACCATCAACATCGACCAGAGTCTCTTTTCTCCCCCCACCCTCCTCCTAATCACCTTAACAATTAATTGATTATTGTACTTTGATTACAGTTGATCGTTGGATAACATTGATGTGGTCCTGGTGGAAATCGATTCCCCACAATTTAATCAATGCGAATATCATCAAAAGAGAGAAGGCTAATATTATATGTGATAATTTCTAGTTGTATTTTTGATCTAATTGATCTAATTGTCCAATGGAATCATTCATCTTGTCATCATCATCATTCCAGAAAATGGTGCTCCCTAAACTCATCATCTCACCAAAACAATCAACTCTCTCAACGATTGTCAATTTTTGGAGGTGTCAGTGGACTTATATTAAATTACGATCTAGGAAATCCTTCCGTTTCCGTTGATGATCAAGTTCGTCCATCACCTCACCATTCATCGTCCGATTCTTGGGTATCAGAGGAATTGTGGCCTAAAGAGAAATCAATCATTCACATTAAATTAATTAAACCAGTTCCTAAAGAATTAACAATCAGAGAATCACGAAACAAAGACACTTACCTGTTGGATCCAAGTTTAGATTTTGATTCACCTTATCGTCTAATTTTCATCAACAATTGTACTTTATCATTTAAATCATATTACGATGGTTTCACTAGCGAACCAAACAATCAAGAGATCACTCGAGATACATCAAACATTCAAGTTCAAATTACTGGTGGAATTGATTGTAAGGAGCTTCCATTGTCACCTTTGACCGCTTTCTCGGCCAATTTAACTCACCTTGTGGTCAGAAACACCGGGATAACCAAATTAACTAAATTTCTGTTTGGTGCAAATCGTTTAGATAAATTGATTCGTTTGGACATTATTGATAATCATCTATTGACGAACCTTCAACCTCGTGCTTTCGATGGATTAACCAAACTTTCCTATCTTAGTTTAATTAACAATTCTAACTTGACCATCATAGCATTAGAATCTTTTGCTGGACTTAAAAGTCTCGAGGAACTTATTTTCCTAGGCAATGGTCAATTCTGGGATCAGAATTATTTTACCACAATATTAAGATCAGCTTCGGATAAAATTTTACCAAATTTGATTCATCTTCATCTACATGGAGCTCAACTCACCAAGAATCAATATGAAAATCAGATTAAATCTGAATACTCATTTAGTACAATTGATCATCAAAGTGATGAAAATAATAATCCAACTAATTATCGTTATTCAAGTAAATTAAGATCATCATCAATTGAATCATCAATTTCATCTCACCAAAGTCCAGAGGTCAACGGAATGAAGGTCAATTATGATCGTGGTAAAAGTGGCCTCAAGATAAACAAAGACGATTTTAATGGATTAACTCAAGTTAAATACCTACAATTAAGTGATTGTGATATAACTTATATCCACCCATTAGCATTAGCACCTTTATTGCGAAACATAATCAGCTTAAATTTAGCTGGTAATCCTAAATTGCGAATTGACAATTTAAAATCAATATTAGCACCTTTCTATGTTTCCAATGTGAAAAGTTAAACCTCGAGAGTGAACAATTAACGGTTAATTCATCATTTCAAAATTATCCAATCTCCAATTCTCAATCTAAAATTGGACTCGTGTCGCTTGACCTTTCACATTCAATTGATACCTCATATGTACCTAAAGATTTACTGACCATTATCAGTAAGACAACGATAACCGAGCTTTATATGGACTCAGTACCTTGGCGGTCACTTCGAGAGGGAGATATACCACCAATGCCACACCTGAAAGTTTTACACATTGACAACAATCAAATTGAAACAATCGACGAGAAAACATTTGATGGTTTAGAGGATTTAATTAGATTAAGTTTAAGAGGAAATTTAATCCAAGAAATACCGCTTTACCTATTGGAACCGCTTCGTAAACTTGAATATCTTGACCTGTCTGGATATCAGGTTAAATTGTCAGTAATCAGTAACAATCAGAATGATGATGATGATCATCATCATGCTGATAGCAATAACGGTGATGATGATGATGATGGTGGTGGTGGTAATGATAATGAAAGAAAATCTCAAACTAATCAACCTGATAACTTGATTAATCAATATACTCCTTTGAATATACCTCGAAAATTTTTTGTTGGCACTTCATTGAAGGAACTGAATCTGAGTTACAAAAATCTGACCCAATTAACTCGATTCCAGTTTATTGGATTATACAAATTGGAGAGACTTCATCTTCGAGGATGTAATCTACAAAATATTGAGTATTTGACTTTTTTCCCTTTAAAATCAATTGTTTACATTGATTTAAGCGAAAACAATCAACTAATTGGTAATGTCCGGTCATCAGAAGAAGACACTTTCGCTGGACTCGAGGCAATTGAAATGATTCGCTTGGCTAATTGTAATTTAACCACTGAAGATATAAATGATTTCAATATTTGGCGTCGGATGCATGAACATGTTCAATTGTTGGATTTGTCGTCTAATTTAATTGATCTGATCAATAGTACAACTTTGGCTAATTTTACTGAACTGCGACACATCAATTTATCTCATAATCAGATCAAAAGTTGGCACAATTATACAATTTTCGGTAAAAATAGTTTCATTACGACTTTGGACATTTCGTTTAATCAGATAACTCATTTGACCGCTGAAATGTTGGGCGATTTTCGTAACTTGAAAAATTTATCCTTTGCTTTTAATCCGTTAAATTGTGAATGTGATTGGGATGGACCATTGTTGCTATTAGATCAAAAGCAAAAGAAATTAAATCAAGTTCATCATGCTAAAATTCAAGATCATATTCAACAATTAGTTGATCGTCAGCAGGAAATTGTATCAACCGCTTTCGCCTCATCACAGGCACCACCAAAAAGTATCATCGAATGGCTAAATACAACGTCCATTCATTTTCTTCTTGACCATCATCCCCTCCGATCTGATCGACATTATTTTTGTCACCAATCTAAATCCCCACTCGAACCACCGATTGTTTTTAAAAAATTTTTCTACCAAGATTGTCCCGTATTAACCTCATCCCGTTCAAATTCAAGGGTTTCCGTTGGTATCTTAATGGTCACCGTATGCACGGCACTTTTATTGGCCGTTTTCCTCCTGGTAATAGCTTTTATTTACAATACAACGATACGAAATTTACTAACTATGGTCGATGATGATTTCCTTCACAATTATCAGTACGATGCTTTTGTCTCATATAATGTTAACGATTCCGATTGGGTTTTCAATATTCTAGTTCCAGCTCTTGAAGATTTACCTGCCGATGAACATTGTGAGGGTCAGTCAACAATCAAATTCAACAACAATAACAATCAATCATCAACAGAGTTAACTAATCAACAACACTCATCGTCAGGTAAAAGTCACGTTAAATTGTGTGTCTATGATCGTGATTTTATCGCAGGCCGACCGATTAGTGAATGTATCACCGAGTCAATTCGTAACAGTCGTAAAGTGATTCTAATTATTTCAAATAATTTCGCTCAAAGTCCTTGGTGCCGTTTCGAAACTGATCTTGCCCATAATACGTTAATGGATCAAAACCGTGAAGGTTTAATTCTGATCAAATTGGAAGAAATGTCAAGTGAAGTGTTGGAAAAAGTTGCACCTCAATTGCATTTCCTATTAAAGACCAGAATTTATCTCACTTGGTCGGAATCTCTTCATGAGCAGGAAATTTTCTGGAAAAAGTTACGACGAGCTTTGGGTTTTACTAAACCTTATGGAACCGTTAAACAATATTATAAGAATTACGTTGGTGGGCTAACCAAAGATCGTCGACAATCAATTGGACATTTAAACAATTCGATACCAACATCAGTGAATAATAATTCTAATAACAATTATGGTAAAGACGAAGTTCATGTTTCCTTTACCAGGAAAACTTTATCTTCTTCTCGTGAATCTTTACCGAGTAACGATTCGGGTATAATTACAATCGATGACAGTGGATGTGTTTCAGTTAATGGAGATGATTCAGTTGATAATGTAACAGAATTTATCGTCGATCAGAAAGAAATACTCGAAGAATCTAATCAACAGAACAATTTAGACCAAGAAACAGGTAGAAAATCAAATGAACGTAAAGTTACCTCGGTGGCGATTCAATTGTTAAATGTAATTGGTAACAATTCAGAGGAAGATGAGACAATTGGAAAAGATGGAGATGAAGAAGAAGATGAAAATGATCAATTGAAAGAGGAACAATTTATTAGTCTAGAAATGGACGATAATCATCACCACGTTGACCACTAATTGTCCATTCAAAATGGAAGAAAAGAAAATCCAATGGAAAAGAAAAAAGTTCTGTTTTCTATTCGGAAAACTTCAAGGATGAGATTATTTTTCCATGAAATTTATTCACCAAAAATGATCAACAGTATTCCCGAGTCCCTGGTGATGATTTGTTCGTGAAGATGATTAATAATCAACCCTGATAATAATTCTCGGTTCTCTCTCACTTGTGTCCATCTTTTTCATGGATTCATGAAAACCTGTTGACCAATGATGATGATGATGATGATGTTGATTATCATGATAATTAATTTCACCTCAATTAATTTGAGGCTTAATGATAAATGTATTTGTCCCTCTGTGTATGTTTATAATCATCTGTAGATATGAAAAACATTTACTATTAATTTTCAATTTGTTTTATAAATAAATTGAATTGAAAACAACAACAAACTTTATTAATTTACTTTCCTCATTTGTCCTTGTATTATTTTTGTAATTAATTAATTACTAAATTACGTCGTTTGAACAATTTGTAAACAAACTGATGAAAGTTATCAAATCATTGAGATTTAATTTTCTCCTCCCAAACTTAATCTGGATCAGGATAAGTTGTTTTCATTTGTATAATAATAACAATCGTTTCGTTTGCTAATTGTTGTTGATTGTTTACAGTTTTAGTTGATCAGTTGGTGCTTGTTGATTGTGTTTATATGTTTATGTGCGTTTTAATGGTGATTTGGGTTGATCATCAAATGATTGTTGTCGATTGATATTAAATCCATTGAATTAGTTAATTGTTTGTCTAACATTACACAAAAGTAACATTATAGTGCTTATGTTTTCAAGGAGATACACTAATATTGATAAAATTTAGTAATTAATCATCAGAAATTAACTGTTTTCATGATAATTACTCACGTGGATTGTTATATCTTTGTGAATTTTGAACAGATCACCAATCCGAGGTCCGACTAAAACAGTTTCGAGTCAATTGAAAACTTCAAGGATCTGAAAATCGAAAGTTATTGATTAATTTGATGGCAAAATCAACCGATTTGAATAAAAATTAAAGGTCATTCTGATTATCGTTCAGTGAATTTACCTTGATTTTATCAGAAAACTTGAGTTTTTTTTGCTGGTACAATGACAATTATTAGTCTGTGAATCTCATCAAACTGAAGTAAAAAATAGGAAACAGAATTAAGATCAAATTGAAATGGTTCAAGTTAATTACCTTTCAAAAGTCTCACCAGCGTGAGTAATGATACTATTATACTGATCAGTATGATGAAGATCGACCCATGGACGGATAAGTTAGAGGCTAATGTCAGAACAATGATCTTATTGACAAAGAATGAGAGGAGAAAAAAGAAATAGATAAACAAATATCGACAATCGGCTGTGGCACGATCAAAATCGTTCAGAAGTGAAATTAGTTCTCTTTGAAAGGACATTAGGCCTGAATTTAAATTCGTCGAGTGTTTTGCACAAAGGTCTTTAAGCATCTCAAGGATACTCAAAGTTCGGTATCGAAACCAATGGATAATAACGAAAAAATGGCCTATTGATCAATTTGTTGAAGATAAATTCGATGAGTGATGACAAACTCCGTCGAGATCCAGAATAGGCTCAGAACGAAATAAATTACACTTCTATAAAAAAGTCCATCAATCAATCATGCCAACAACGGAAACAACGACGAAGATCATTTTCACCAATCTCTTCCAATTAATTACAATTAGAATCGAAAAATTTTACATCGAGTTTCGTTTAAATGTAATTCGACCATAATGAAGTGATTAATGGAGACGCTGATTGTGCGATATTAACAATTAATCAATAAAATGATTGGAAGTCAATTTAAATTCAAACTAATCAAACCTTTTGACTGTAACTGTCACGACACAAAATCTCATGGCGATTGTAATCATAATAATGATAGTTAATTAATCGTAATGATTACTAACTTATCCCCATCATAATTGTTGGTCATTTATTGATTGTTCAATCCAACAAAAAGATAATTGTTAAATTAAATTGTTTTCTTGTACGAGATTGATTTTTTTTCTGATGACCGTTCAAAAGTTAATTGTTGTAATAACGATTATATTATTTTTATATTGTTTTTTATTGTTTTTTTTAATTGTTGTTTAAGTCGTGATTGGACATGATATAAAATTAGATTAGGGAACATGATTAAAAAAAGTAGTTGGTGTTAAATTTGATTGTGAAAAAATATAATCTCAACTCGATTTTGCAATTAAATGTAAAATGAGTGAGTGAGATAATTGAGATTAGCCAAATGTAAATTTAGATGGAAAAAATTAACTAAATAATCAGGACTTACATTTGATTGTAATCTTGATTGTCTCATTATTACATAATCATAATTAAAATTAAAATAGTTTTATGTATGTGTGTGTGTGTGTTGATGTAGTGTGAATGTGGTGTGAATGTATTTGTGCAATGTTAGTTTTTTGTTTATTGTTTGTCACCATTTTAATTGTTGATTTCTGATTGTTGATCAGATTTAAATAATCTAATTGTCTATTAAATTATTATTTTCCAACTTGTCTGACTCCAGATTGATTTGGTCTAAATTGTGGTGGAAGTGGCCCTTGGGGTTGTCTTGGAGCGGAATTGGAGTTACCTGAGTTTCCTGAATTGCCTGAGGCTGGAGCTTCTTCCTCTTCATCAGGTTGAGGTGTGGTTGGTGGAGGTTCACTGGGTAAGAAGAAAAGAAAACAATCAGTTAATAACAATCAAAAAGAATAAAAGAAAAGGTAGTTAATTGTTGTTGTGAAGAAGAAGAAAATAAAAAAAAAGTAAACAATCATTTCAATGAATGAAAAGACGAAGAGAGAAACAATTAATGAGATCAACATCATCTTCAGATGAATAGACTCTCTATCTCGTGTCTATCATCCTAATGAACTATTTATTGTTCATTGAGTATCACGATTATCATGTATAATCTAATCAAAGAATTGTATCTAATCAGATTCATCAGCGTTTTGTTTAACATGGAAACAGTTGAAATTGAGTGAACAATGATTCTAATTCAATTCGTATGGACTCAATTAGTTTAGGTCATCGAGAGAGAGAGAGAGAGAGAAAGAAAGAGAGACTTGACCCTTTACACCCAAATTGTGATTAATTATTAAAGTCTCATCTAGATAATAATATAAATTACTTACCATCCAGGAACTGTTGTTGCTAATTCACATCTCAAGGTAGTTGGATTAACGGCAAGTCCAGCGGGACATCGTTGAAGTCGTGGGTAACCACCAACGCAGAGCCAATAACGGACGCAACTCTTTTCTATTGGGACTGGACCATTTGGCACATCCTTACAGATCGCTGTTTACAAAGGGTAGAAAAAGAAATGGCCACGAAAACCGGAAGAAAAGTTTTATTAGAAAAGATGAGATGGAATTATTTTCATCAATAGAAAGTAGGAAGACATCGCAAGTAAAATCGTTCTCGTCTTAATTTATCAATCGATAAGTTATAAGGTATAATCGAGTGAGAGAAAATGATGACCCGAGGGTATGGATTATAATAAGATGGTGGTGATGATAATTAAAAGATTATTTTAGTGGGGAGTTGAACTTACGGTGTTTCTGACAATCAGGAACATTATCAGGCCAGTCACAGGCGTGGAGAGCGTCGTTATAAAGAAGTGAGAATGGACATTGTTGGATTGTTGAGGTTCCATTCCAACAGTGCCAATATCGAGTACATGAAGTGGCATGAGGGAAAACACCATATTGCCAATGGCAGTTTTCGGTTGATTGAGGTTGTTCTGTTAATTGAATAATAAGAGAGAGGAGAGAAAACGAAACAATTAGTTAATTAGATCATTGAAAGAGAGTGAAAGTGATGATTGATTCTGAGATATGAAATGAGTTTATTAGTAAATGTCTTCCTCATAAGGAAGTATTTCCTTGACCTGAACATTGATTTTTCTTATAAATCGTTGATCGTTAATTGATTGAAACTGTGACCCAGTGTCATCCATTTAAATTGTTAATTTGTGTACACCTATTAAGACGTTATTCTGGCCTGGATAAGGTTTTCGTTGTTTACTTTCTTATTTATCGACAGTAATAATTATTGTTGTTGACCGTTTTCCCTTTTAATCGTTACTTTTTCATTTGGGTAATGGTTTTTATCGTTTTCTTAATTTCGTTTTTATTTGTCTTGATCTTCATTGTTTACGATTTTATTATTAAGGCCAAAACTTGTTTAGGTCACTGACCTAATGTTCATTGTGGGCTGAGTTCGAAAGGTTCGTGAAGATTTGTTGATAATAAACAAAAATGGGAGAGTTAATAACAACTACTCACAATTAGAATAATTAACCGCACCCGATTATCGTGATTATTATAAATTTAATGTTCTTTTTTCTTGTAAATCATCGTTCTAATGATACTAATTGTTATGTCAACGAATAACAATCCAAGGATTGATGATGATTATTATATTCTTGTCATGTAATCACTTAGAACGTAAATGATTAATGGATATGCATTGGAGGATCGAAGGGTAGAAAATAGTAAATGGTCAGTTTTACTTACGTCCAATAACTCGGGTTCCGTCTGGACATCCAACTCGATGAGGATAATCACAGTTTTGGATTAAACCTCTTTTAGATCCAGCGAAGGCAAGACCATTGGGACAGGCCTGGAGAACGGCATCTCCGGTGGCGGAATCACACTCATAGTAGTAATCACAATAATCTTCATGGGGGAATAGTGAACCTCCTTTAGGATTATTTCGGCACAATTGTTGAGCTGTTTGACTTGATCGTGATTGAGCCCATGCTAGAGATAATCATGAAAATATGATATAAGAATTAGCAAAAAAGATAATCAAGCAAAACAAAATCTATCAAGGAAAAGTTTTCGAAACTTTTCGAGTTATAATAACATTGGTATAAAGTTATCAACACTTACCTAATGGAAGCAACAAAACCAAAATGGCTGCTGTGAAATGCATATTGTTAAATGTACAACAATTAAGTTAATCACTAATTAAGATGATCAGTAGTAAACAACAACAACAATATATATAAGTTACTCTTTAGTCAGCTAAGTCGTTAATGAATAATTTTGCTCACTGGAAGATGATATTGAAGAGCCGACTCACTCAAATCTCTCACTCGAGTGAAAAAAGGAGGTGATGATGAAGATGATGATGATGAGCAGATGATGATGCTGATGATAATGATGATAATACTGATGAACGATGTTCAATGACCTGTTACATTATTAATATCACTGATGATCCATCATGATTGTAGCTAAAAATAAGCTCAATTTTTTATATAATTTTTGTTGTTTTACATTAAATTTGGGTCAACAATCAAGCCTCAGCCTTATAATTGAAAACTACATGATAACTTTTGTTATAATATGTTGATGTATATGGATGAATGATTAATTGGCTTGATTGATTGTCTATTTTAATTGTTACTTTATTTAGGTAGTTTTGATTTTCTTTTGTTTTCTATTTAGCGTTAATCAAACAATTAATTCAATTTGTAACGAGTAACAATTGACTTTCAGGAAGATAAACATTTAATTGTTGATTCGTTTACTTTTTTTCTTGAAACTTTCTTTTCGAAACTTTTTTCTTCTTTCTTTTTGTCGTTCGATCTTTCTAATCGAGAGTTAATTGTCAATTAATCATGTTGATTTATCTTATTATTGGATTAATTTAATTTTCTGTCTCGTTCGAGAGAGAGAAAAAAGTTAATACTTTTTAATTGTCGCTTCGTTTTGTCCTTTTATTAATCTTATTAAATTGTGAATCGCGTTTCCGTCATTAATTTAATTCTTTAAATTTTGTCATTTATTTAATTCCTTTGACAATTTGATTTGCTTATTTACGAGTTAATTGTGACAATTAAAGATCAGAATGATGTTGAATCAACTTTAATCTTTACCTCATTTCATATTCATTGAATGATTTAGATTTTCACTATTGATGTCGTGCTAATCCAATTGTAACAATCAACAATCAACAATCAGTTTTAATCACTTTGTCCGTAACAATCTAATATTTAATCATTTTATAGTTGAGAGATGATCAATTTTTGATCATGACAATTGATTGTTGATTGTTAATTGTCAGATTTCAACTGATTAATTTTCATCTTTAACGAAATTTGTTTTTTTCTTTCCTCTTGATTAACTAATCCTGATTAAGATTGACATTGATTGTTTGTTTGATCAATAATTTAAATTGTTACAGTTTATTCAAGTGTTTCATTATATTTTGTGGGTTACAGTTAAATTGTGATTACTTGTAATTAGTAAATTATCTTGAGAGACAGATAATAATTAAAGGGATCATCATCTAAAATAAAGGTTACTTTAAATGCTTTTACATAATGATAATGATTATTTTCATCAGTTAATGATGTGAAGTATTAAATTGTTGTTTTAATCTAAATTAAGGTGATGCTTTTAATTTAAATATAAACATTTAATCGTTAATGAAATTGATGGTTTAGTTTTTGATTGTTAAATATTGATCATCATCATCATCCAAATCATTAGCCTTATACTTGTAATTTAGTTGTTGTTGTTGTTGTTTTTTTTGCACTTTGGGTTAAATTGTTGACTTGATTAACTGCAACGTTTTGATTTTAATTGTTGATCAAATTAATTCCTTAAGTCACCCAAGGCTTAATCAACATTGTTTTCTTGTGATAATTTCCTTATAGTTTATAATGATTGATTCAAATGATCAGCGTTAATTGTTGATTGTCATTAACAAAATTGACAGATTATGAGTTCATCGTTTTACACTTTGATTGTTGACATTGATTAATCATCTGGTTTATGATTAGTAGTGGTTTTTTTAATGATTAACTGGATCTCTCTTTAGATCGGGTGAACTTATTTGATTGTGATTAGCTTATAATTGTTAATGATTCATGTAAATTCAGTTATCAGACTGATTGTTGTTGTCTCAATGCTTTTCTTTGTCTCTGTATGACATGAATGTGACTTGAATTTGATTACAAATTGAGTTTAATTTGATTTGTCAGGTTGATTTCCGGCTTGATTGTTAACCTTTAATTTCCATGTTGGTGGATTAATATTGTAATTTGATTAATTCGTTGGTAGTGAAAATTTTCACGAGGTTAACAACTTTTGAAACAAGTTCTCCATGTCCATGGAAGATGAAAAATTTTGAAGGTTAATTTGAATTCTTATTGGAATTGGAGTTGAGGTTAATTCAGTTGTTAACTGATCGTTGATTAAGTTATATTGTGATTCCATTTTCTTTCATAGTTTTCTGGCCATTCCTTTTGGATATTTGTTTCAATATTTAGACTTCGGGATTGTGTTAATTACCAACTGTTCAATTACCTAGATTAGTTACAAATCATAAAGGAAATAAATCAAATTGATGATTAACTTGTTAATCAAAAGATAGTAAGTTGATTTCCAATAATTTACTCATTGTTTACAAGGACATGCTGATAAATATAAATTGCTATTCACATCAGTCAAACAACAGTTTCCAATCAGGTAATCAACTGACATTAATGATTCAGGAATTGAACAAATAATTACCTTTTGTTGTGTTTGTTGATCCATTAGTTTATTGTTATTCCGTTTTAATCAGTCACAATTAACTAACAATGAGTCGTATTCGTAAGTTTTTCCTCCGCCTGTTTTTAAGGAGACAAAAGAAAACGTTTACCAAGAAGATCAAAGAAAAGGTAAGTTAATGAAATTTACAGTTACATCAACAATTTATATTCTGTTGATTGTTACCAGAAGAGAAACAGAATAGAAAAAAAAAATTAACGAAATTGATATATTTTTTTCCTTCTTGTTTCAATCAAAATCTTTAGATGACATCAGAATGATCTAAATGTAATAACCATTTGATTGGATTGTACTTTCTTGAAATTCCATGGATTAATAAATACCTTTTCTTTTGATTCTCAATGAATGAGATTCCAATTGATTTCCAATCCACTTAATCATCATAATCTTTCACCATCATCATCAGGCAACACCCCAAGTAAACAAAGATTAGAAAAAGGCTTTTGATCAACACTAATTGTGTGAGTGTGTGTTGATTAAACATGTAAATAAATCGTATTACCATCAGAAAAGTTACAAAAAGGAGTAATCAATTGTGATCAGAATTAACAATAAAGATACAACAGCAACAACAGTTAATCACATAATCGGTTAATCATAAATTAATGATTAAAGAGAAAAGAGAAAAAGACAAACAATCAAATGTTTACAATAAGAAGAAACCAAGAGAAACCACAAGAGAAAACCTTAATGAAAGGATGAACAATTATCCAAACAAGAAGAACAATTAATTAATCAACACAAAAGGTAAACGTTAATTTTAACAAGGTAGACAATTAAATTCTCAACACGGAAGATCAACAAAAGGTAACAACAAACACTAAAGACAAATGAGAGAATAAGAGGAAGAAACAAAAAAGATTAACATTCAACAAATACTTCAGTTAATTACTAATTGATTGAGAGACAAATTAAAAAGAAATAAATGATTAATTAATTTATCCGATTAACAATTAGCAATTAACAATTTAAAAAATCGGAAAATTAATCAATTAAGAAAAAAAGAGAAAAGTAAACAAGTAACTCCATCTATAGGTAGTGTCTTACAACTCTCAAGTTCGGAGGGAACAAAGAATTAAGGTAACGCCATCTGTTGGTTGCATTGGAAGTTGGGGAGACACGATTAATCGATTAACTGAAATCGAGAAATTTAATTTAATTTGTATGTTAAAGTTTCATAGAGAATTTTGGTTTAAATGTTTGCGCGCAAAAGAAAAGAAAGAAAGAGAAAACTGATTTTCTTTAAATTTTTCTTTCTCTTCTTTCTTTGAGATAGAATCGGTTAATTAATCGATACTTTTGAAACTCGATCACTTTAACTCTCAATTCATTGGGTGGAATTGAGATATTTTTTTCTGATTGTTTTGTTTCCGCGTGTATTTTTTATTTCTCTGTAATTTTGGTTTTAAAAAACGCGAAAAGTGTTATTGTTTCTAGTAAATTATTTTCTAATTTTGTGTCCACCATCTTGATTATTCATTGAGGATCAAAGTGATACCAGTATAAATCTTTTTTGTATAGGGTTTTGATAATCAAATCAAAATGTATCCTGCAAGGCACAGTGGACCACCTCAAGCTGGGCAAGGACGTTTCTCCATTACTGATACACTTGAACGGATTAAAGAGGAATTTAGTTATCTTCAAAGTCAATATCATAATTTAAGGATGGAATTGGATAAATTAGCTACCGATAAGAATGAGATGCAACGTCATTATGTAATGTATTATGAAATGTCATATGGTCTTAATGTTGAGATGCACAAGCAAACCGAGATAGCCAAACGTTTGAATACCCTTATAGCTCAGATAATGCCTTACCTGCCAGCTGACCATCAACCACAAGTTGCACAAGCGGTAGAAAGAGCTAAACAAGTTACCATGTCAGAATTAAATGCAATTATTGGTCAACAACATACAGGTATGACACATTTAATGCAACAAATTCATGCCCAACAGTTGCCTACAGCAGCAGCCGCTGTTGCTGCTGCGGCTGCTGCAGGGCATCCACATGGACCGGGAATGCCGATGATGCCTCATCCATCTTTACCTGCACCACCACCGCCTGGTTTACCAGGAAATTCAGCAGCAGGTCTGTTGGCTTTATCAGCAAATGCTTCTGCCGCTGCATCATCAAACAATGCTGTGACCTTGTCATCTATCTCCACGGCTTCATCACCAGTATCGAAAGATTCAGCCTCAGCAAGGGAACTTAATGATGTTAAACGAAACCATTTAGAAGATAGGCAACGTAATAATTTTTCACCACATGTTGGTTTAGATCGTAATCGTCATCTAAGTCGATCACCCGATCAGGATAAACACAAGAGAAGAAAAGATACTGTGAGTTGTGACAGTGATGGTGAAAAAAGTGACCAAGAATTGGTTGTAGATGTTGCCAACGATGAACCTTTAGGACCTTCTAATGGTAATGCCAACTCACCCAGAGAGAATGGTCAAGATAAATCAATTAAGAAAGAACCATCATCTCACAGTCCTCATTCCAGTATCTCATCAAATTCAAATACTCCATCAGCTAAACATAAGGAAAACGAAAAGTCAACCACACCGCTTCCAAAAGCAGCAACACCTAATAGCTCGGGAGCCTCCACACCCGGAGTCAGTGGATTAAAGTCAATGCCCAAAGGTCCACCATTAGGTCCACCCTATCCATATCCTTTACACTCTGCACCTCCTGGAGCAGGAGGTCATCTTGCCACTGATTTAACTACCGGTGCAATTGCCGCTGCTTTTCCACCAGGTATGCTTCATAATAACATTTCTCCTGCTCTTAATTCATACTCACGAGGTCTTGTAGCGGGATATGATCCTCACCCGAACATGAGAGCCCCCGGATTCGCTGGTCTACCTGGAAAATCAGCTTGTTCATTACATATAGGTCCTGATGGAACATCACAACCTGTACATATTCCACTTGATGCGACAAATGCTATTGGTATTCCTCGACAAGCAAGGCCAGTTGACACTCTTAATCATGGTGAGGTTGTTTGTGCCGTTACCATAAGTCAGAACAATAAATATGTGTACACAGGAGGAAAAGGTTGTGTAAAAGTTTGGGACATTAGTTCTCGTGGGACAAAACAACCAATGCACACTCTTGAGTGTTTGGTGAGTATTTTATTAATCTTGATGATTCACAAACTCGTTCACCAGTTCGTGAATCATTTTTGTATTATTTTCTGTCTCCCTTGTCTGTGTGCACTCTTTACTTTTTAACTAATTGATTCTTAAATTTTTCTCTTCCCTCAACTTATAGCAACGTGAAAATTACATTAGATCTTGTAAATTATTACCCGATGGAAGAACACTGATTGTTGGAGGTGAAGCTTCTACCATCTCTATTTGGGATTTGACAGGAGTATGTTTTAGTATCATTATCACTTTTAATTAACAGAATTTTATATTTCTTTTTATCGATCAATATTTTAATGAATATTTCTCTCATTCTCTCCCCTCATCTATCCAATAGGCACCAAGAATTAAGAACGAGTTACCTTCAACAGCACCAGCCTGTTATGCCTTGGCTATTAGTCCAGATTCAAAATTATGTTTCAGTTGTTGTAGTGATGGTAACATTGCTGTATGGGATCTTCATAATAATTCATTAGTCCGCCAATTTCAAGGTCACACTGACGGAGCTTCTTGCATTGATATTAGTAATGATGGTAATAAATTGTGGACTGGAGGCTTGGATAATACAGTTCGATCTTGGGATCTTCTAGAAGTAAGTTAATAACCAGCGTTAAATAATTTATTCGCAACAAGTTTTGACATTTTATATGATCTAAATTGAAAGAGATTTAGTTTATTGTCATGTTATTTATAATACAGTTTATCTTTCTTAATGAGTATACAATTAACTTAATTATTACCAATTTAACTGTGTGATGAAGTGTTGGTTGTCTTTTCAGTTGTTGATTAATTGAAGCTGGCATAATGACAATAGGTGATGATGAACGTATAAAAAGTGCACTCTGTAAATTTAATACCTTTTTTATACTCAAGTATTTCGATATGGTTCAAAACATTGATCAATCTAATGATGAAATTTCCCTTTTTTCTATCTACAGGGTCGTCAATTACATCAGCATGATTTTAGTTCACAAATATTTTCTCTTGGATACTGTCCAACAGGCGAATGGCTCGCAGTAGGGTAAATATCTGGACAATTTACTTTTTATAATAATCAACCAATTTAGTATGAATTTGGTCACTAATATTTGTTTTATTTTTCTAATAATTTCTCTCCCTTCATATGAAATGAATTCATTCAATCCTTTCAAATTGACAACAGTATGGAAAGTAGTAGCGTTGAAGTCCTTCACACCTCCAAACCTGACAAATATCAATTACACCTCCATGAAAGTTGTGTATTGTCACTTAAATTTGCTAATTGTGGTAAATGGTTTGTTAGCACTGGCAAAGATAACTTACTCAATGCTTGGCGAACACCTTATGGAGCCAGTATCTTCACGGTTAGTGGATTTTATCAATAGTGATGGATGATGGACAAACAAAGAATCATCTCCGTTACTTTTTTACTTTCCTCTCTCTCTCAATTAACTAATTATCTTTTCTTTTTTTCCTATTTATCTCAATAGGTTAAAGAAACGTCATCTGTGTTAAGTTGTGACATATCCTCTGATGACAAGTACATAGTTACCGGTTCTGGAGACAAAAAGGCCACAGTTTACGAGGTTTACTCATGATCTTAATTTTAATTTAACATTATCATCATTTGCATCGTCATTCAACATCGTTACCATTAACTTCCCATTCTTACATCTTTTGATCTCATAAATTATAAACAAAACACAAAACACAAACAAACAAACAAACAAACAAATCAACAATCACTAAAAAAAAATAATTTTCAACTGACCCGCTCTGTAACAAATCCAACCTCTTTCTCTCTCACACACCACCACCACCACCACCACCACTACAAATACAAACACTCTCTCCAATCATGTTGAATCAATCGATAACAAAAGTTACACCACAAAAGTGTTATAGTAAAAGTTAATCAAGGATAAAAGTGAAACCATTTCGTTCCTGAAAGTTATCGAGATTGAAAAACATCACTAAAAATTAACCAATACTTTTCACCAACATACCATTAATTGTTTATTATAACATTTAATGGCTGTGTGATAAACTCGACAAAAAAAACTCTTACACAGGATTGGCATTTATCTTCATCGTTCATATAAAATTATTTCAAAAAATTAATCAATACTATATCTGTATTTTGTTCACACTACCATAACCCACTCGCAAACTATTTACTCTCTCTCTCTCTCTCTCTCTTTCTCTTTCCTCCTCCTCTTTCACATTCGGACTCTTCAACGATTCATCCTGTTCATCCACCGTCATCATCATCCATCATTTTTCTCGATCGCTTTTTCTCATCATTTCTTCATTTGATCATTTTATTTCTCGCCATTTTTCTCACCTTTCCTGCGACATTTGGCCTCTCTCTTTTTCTCTGTCTTACCAGTTGAAAGAAAAATTGTACAGGCGCCGTACAAGAGATGGTCGGAAAGTCCATAGAACCACTTTGTATATACCATCACCGATGTACCCTGAATAGAAAGAAACATGGTAGAGATTGTTACATTTCTCTTGTCACAAAGTCAAACCAATAGAAAAGAGAAGATGAAAAACGAGAAGCTAAACTGAAACAACTAATAGATATGAGAAAAATAGATTTAGGATTAATCTTCCTAATCCACAAAATCCCCTTAAACTGCAATATTCACCTTCATTTTTTCATTTTCCTTTCCCATAAAACCTTCCAGTCTCAGTTCAAACCTCATCTTCGACCCTTTACATCATGTATTTTACTCTTCTCTCCCGAATTTCTCTCTCCTTCTTTGTCCTCATCATCTCTAATTTGCTTTAAGTACGTGATCATCAAAAAAGAATCAACAAAGTTTCCTAAAAAAATGACCCAATGAAAGAAACCAACATGTCAAAGGTCAACAACCAAAATTGTAAATTTTTAACCCCAAAGCCGAGGCTTTATTGGTCTATGGATTCGGGCACCTTTCGTTTGACGTAAACCCTCAAGAAGCGAATTAATTGTAATAAAGTCGTTCTCATCTTCTCCCACTTCGCCAAGGAACAACCACCATGTATCTTGTCACCCACAACAATTAACGGACTAAACAATTACTTGACAAGATTAACTTCTTGAAAAACATCAACCAAAAAAGATGGTTAAATAGTCCAAACTACTATTTCATGATAATTTTGTGATTTCTTAGAATCAACAATTTTTTTCTTTCCTCCATCTTCATCTTCATCTCCTCTCCATCCTTTTCTCCCTCTCTTTGCTCTTTCTTCCTCATCATCCTTCATCATTTTCCTCTGTAACAAAAAAGAAAACATTTTTCTCTAGTTTGATTTTCTCAGCATTTGGAAAACCAAAACAAACCAATTACAAAAAGCTACAAATTGACAAATGAGAAAAAAATCCAATAACAATTAACAGAATATGTTACAAAATTATCGCTGTAATAATTATTCATCTCTTTCCGTTAATTGTAAACAATCAACTTTTTTTTGTTTCAATTAACATAATCAAATGTCAAAGATCAACTCACCTTGACATTGAGCTGATGTTTGATTCGGTTGATCAACCGACCGGCAAATTTTACGGAAAAATTCATTCACCTTAATTAAGATTTGTAACTAATCTTGTTACTCATTAATTGATTTAATTTGTTTTCTCAATCACAATCAATTAGACAAAACATTAATTTCAAAGGAAAAAAAAAGAAATTTGGCTAAAAATTGTTGAGATAATTTATGATTTCTTCCTATGTGATTCCATTTAATTGTTACAATTAAGGTCTGGGTTAAGGTTTTTCTCTTTAATTTTGAACATGATTAACAAAAATAGCTGATTCTATGATTAACTGTGTTACCCTAACAACAATTGAATTAGTTCAAGAGCAATTAGTAAATGGTGATGACTATTAGACTGAAATAATTACTCGATTATAATTAGTTGATGATTATTTACAATTATAATCAGAATAGGAAGTGAATTATGAAATTAGAAATGTCCTCGTAACAATTTAACAAGTTATCGATTATTTAATTGTTATGATCAGAAGACTTTTTAATTATCTTAAAATAATTGTAGACAATTTAATTGATTGATTTCTTGTTGTTGGACTTTTTTGTTTGAACCAAAGAAACTGAATTGATGGAAAACGCAAATAGTGTTGAGGTCGAAGGACAATTAAGGACACGGCCCTGAGGCTAATTACCAATTAAACTTTATCATCATTAGAAGAAGATGATAAATAGAGAGAGAATTTATCTTCTTTGTCTTTCTTTTGCTCTCGTTTTCTTTTCACTTTTTTCTGATGTTCCACTTGTTCCGTTCTCTATGGGGAAGGAGGAGATGAAGAAGAAGAAGGAGAAGATGATGATGATGACGGTGGAAGAAGAGAGAGAGAGAGAGAGAGAGAAGGTTATCTTCCTGTTATTGGTTATAAAAGATCACAAAACATTTTCTTCAATTCTCAAATGTCCTCAGGTCAGAAAGAGAGAACAAAAAAGTTTCCTTTTCTCCTTCGACTGATCATTTTTAGCATCGAATCTTTTTTTTTGTTTAAATATTTTCTACTCTAAATTTGTGGCGGTCAAACTTTCATGATGGTCAAGTGTTTATCTTCAATTGTCCAGTTGATTTTATTTGCTTGTTTCATTTGGACTATTGGTGCTACACCGATGACAACATTTTCTCCCGATGATGAGACTACGATTGTTGAACAAAGTTCAGATGAATTTAGTTCCAATATTGAAGTTTGTGGATCGCAATTGATTCAACGGACTCGTCGTGGTGGTCGAGTTGTTGGTGGACAGAATTCATATCCGGGAGAATTTCCTTGGACAGTGAGTTAATCAGTTTAAATTGTTGTTGGTGAGAAAATCAGTAAAGTTCACCATCATCATCATCAGCTGATTGTTGATTAAATTGTTTATCTTTTTGTTTCCAAATTGTTTCAAACAAGGTTTCAATACGATTACCACATAAACATCATTGCGGTGGAACGATAATTAACTCAGAGTGGATTTTAACTGCTGCTCATTGTGTCTTTAATTATGGTAAAGATGATTATCGAGTTCGATTGGGCTCAATTCTAAAGGATGACTTCGAGGATGAAACTCTTATTCTAAGGGTCAGTGATGTGGTCATTCATGATCACTACGCTGCTCCAAGACGATACTCTCATGATATCGCTCTGTTAAGGTAAATCTGTAATAATATTTAGTCAATTAAGAATGTGATTAATTAGTTATGATTGTTTTTAGGTTAGAGACTCCACTTAATTTCACTGATTACATTTCACCGGTGTGTTTGCCCCCAGAGGAACCAACTGAACAGGACACCGATAAGTACAAAGGCATCAAGGCGACAGTTGTTGGTTGGGGTTGGACTTCATTCAAACAGAAACCAGTGATTATTGGTAATTAGAAAACACTAATTACTTTACGATTCGATCGCTCGAAATGTTCATTTTCTCACCTCTCTCTCTCTCTCTCTCTCTCTCTCATCAGGATCTTATCCTCAAGTGCTACAAAAAGTTGACCTCGGAGTGATTCCTAACGTTGAGTGTATGGGTTGGTTCAAATCTCGGGGCATCTCTTTGGCTCTTGATGAGAAACAATTCTGTGCCGGTTACAAAGATGGCGGAAAAGACTCTTGCAGTGTAAGTATTGTTTTAATTAATTGTCGATTGCTTCCAATCAATTTTTTGGTCTAATGTTTTCTTTTCTCATTGTATGTCATTCATATCTAATGTTATTCCTTCAGGGTGATTCTGGTGGTCCTTTGGTGGTTAAAAACTTGACCACTGGAAAGTTTCACATAATTGGAATTGTAAGTGCGGGTGTTGCTTGTGCTGAGCCTCGATTACCGGGTGTCTATACAAGGGTCACATCTTATCTTGATTGGATTAAGCAAATTACCTCAGTTAATGAGTAATTTTATTATCAATTAACTTGATTAATTCCATGTAAATAACTACACTTGTAAATAGTCAAAGAGAATCGTTAAATTTTCAAACAAGAAATTAAATTATTGTAAAAACAGATAATCTTTTCGATTAATTAAAGTTTTATTTTGGAAATTGAATGACCTTTTCATGTTTTTATTTCTTTACCAAAATTGTATCAAATTTAATTGTTGATCAATTTGTAAATTACTCATCTATGAGGATGATTTTGTTTTTGTTGAGGTCGTTTCAATCCATGAGCCGATTTCCATCAATCTGGTGTCAAAAGATAGGTAATCCTTTATGGTAATCAATTTATAATAAAACACAACTTTAATTCACCTTTAATTAATAAAAATTCAAGAGCGCAGGCAAACACAACTTAATTAACTTAATTTAGTTCCATTCCTAGATGTGAGATGTCGCTACTTGATCTCTTTTTCTTTGTTTTGGTTTTTCAATTTAAAGTGAATTTGTTTTTTCAAGAATTTGTTTCTTTCTGTTGATTGTTTGTGTTTTAATTAATTATTTCGTTTGATTTGTTTAGTTTTTACTTTGTTTTGAGTATTGTTTTATTGAGGAATTGGTTGTTTTCAATATGGCTCGAAATGCTGAGAAAGCGATGACAACTTTGGCTCGTTGGAGACAAACACAGTTGGAAGGAGACAAAGGAAAACGTCGTAGACCTTATTTAGCTTCGGAATGTAATGATTTAAAGGAAGCCGAACGTTGGAGATTGGAAATTATCAGAGAAATAAGTAGAAAGGTTACTCAGATTCAGAATGCTGGTCTTGGTGAATATAGGGTACGAGATTTAAATGATCAGATAAACAAATTGTTACGTGAAAAAAGACATTGGGAATATCGATGTGCAGAACTTGGAGGAGTTAATTATCGCCGAGCGCCTGGTCCTAAATTTGATTTCTCAGGTCGAGAAGTTCCAGGAACAAGAGGATATCGTTATTTTGGAGCTGCGAAAGATTTACCCGGTGTCAGAGAATTGTTCTCAACTGAACCACCTCCACTAATACGTAAAACTAGAGCCGAGTTAATGAAAGACATTGACGCAGATTATTATGGTTATCGGGATGAAGATGATGGTGTAATTGTACCATTAGAGAATGAAGCTCAAAGAGAAGCGATTACAAAGGTACAGAATTTGCTACACTTGAACTAATCCTTTAAGCTAAGCCAATCTTAATGAAATTAATCCAGTGTCTCTGTAATTTACTTGAGTTGAACTTGATTAACCTTTTTCCAACTTGAAACTTATTTTCTAATCAAAAGTTTACTAAACATTTCTCTTGATTCTCTTCCTTAGGCTGTCGCCGGATATGCTGATTCAGATCAACAGATCGAAGTTGATCTAAGTGCTGATATCGAAGATGTTAAACTTGATGATGATAACGACGGAATCGATTTCTGTGGACCTAAAATTTTCGTCTCCCATGTTCCCCATATCGCAAGTTTAGAAGAAATTCAAGAAGCCATTTTAGAGAAAAAGAAACAAGAACTATTGGAAAAGTTTCTCAGTGGAAAAGTCAACGCCGATAATGACGACGACGATGATGAAGAAGACGACGAATAAACTTTTCTTTTTAAATTAATGAAGAAAAACAAATGCACCAAAATATTTTCATTTTTCTCTCATTGAAACTCATTGATTTTGAAGCGAAACAAAAAGAAAACAACCTTGATCTCAATCGATTGATTAATGGATTCCAATGTAATCGTTAATTTGCTCATTCATTTAAAGTTATTTTAAATTTTTACCAAAACAAACGTTTAATTGTTTTCTCTAATTCATTACAATCAATTCAATTCAATTCAATTGTCGAAAATGGTAATCGATGGTCGATAGATCGAAAATCGAAACGAGAATTGCAAAGAAAACGAAACAAAAACAAACGATTGAATTTCTTTGGTTTCAAGTGGAGTTTTTAATTCATTAGATTTAATTGTGTCTAAATTATTCGTTAATTATGTTCACTTTGGAAAAAATTCCTCAAAAGGGACCTGAACCATTCGGTAAGTTTAATCGAAATGAACTATTCATCTTATCTGATGAATGTTTTTCTGTTTCTTTAATTGTGATTCTTTTCATTTCTATAGGTGATCCTAAGGATTTATCATTGAGAAAGATTGAAAAAAATGTACTAATTCCTGAAATTATGAGAGAAATTGCCTCAAAGAATCAATGTAAAGATGTTACTAAAGGTTAGTTAATTACCTTTCAAGTGATTATCTTTTCCAACTTGAATCTATATCAATAACCTATTTTGTTTGATATTGATTGTGATTTGTTTTCTTTTTTTGTTTGAATAGCTTTTTTTGATTGTGCCAAGGAAAAGGGAATCTTGATTGCCCCGAAATGTAATAAACATCGTGACAATCTAGTAAATTGTATGGAATACTGGTTAGTATTAAAATTGATTAATTATTGATTCACCATTTAGAAAATCTATTGTTAATTTTAAATTTGTTTCTCTCTCCATTCTCAACTCTTTAAAATGACTGTCAAATTTTCCATTTTTTTCTGCTCTATTGGTTCATTTATCTTTTTTTTTCTTTTCTCAGGTTGAATGACAAAGATTTCAGAAAAGAAACAACTATTCAATACTTAAAGGATAGAGCCGAATACAGGAAGACAGGAGTAACAGCCAGGCCATCAAAAAGGCTTAACACTGGAACCCACAATTAATTGTTCTCATCTCTCTCTCTCTCTCTCGCTTGCAACATGTAACATTAGTGATATTTTCCAGTTTATGGGCAGTGAATTAATATCTAAACAATCAGACTTATTCAACAACCTGAACAACTGATGATGCGTTATAACAATATTTTTTGAGTACCATAATCATCATTTAGTTAAATTGTTGGTATAATTTAAAACCGATCAAAAGTGCCCATCAAGAATCATTGGACCATTTGAGGTGAACAATCAAATTGAATGTGAAAAGATTCAAAGTATTCACAATAATTGTTTCATGGAAATAAAATTGTTCACCAACAAACTTTCATCTCAATGTAATAATAATAAATGTTCATACAAATACCAGATTATAATTGTAAAAAGTATTATTAGTTCAATAAATTAGGATTCAAGTTCTATTCAACATTATAATCAACTTTTTCTTTCACAGTTATTGGTATCAAGGATATTTGATCATTATAGACAAAAAGTGTTCCTTCAAATAATCAAATTAAAATAATTCTTTCAATGAATCCAAATTAATTTTAAGTCGAACCATTTAATTTGTCATTTATGCTGATGGTTTTCACGTCATCTCGATCAATTAACAATCAAAACGATTCATAAAGTTTTGAGATTGTCTCATTATTATGAATGGTTGATTTTACTATGATAATGACGATTAGGAGGTGATGATGATTTTCACAGCAATTTAAGCTAAATATAATTAGAAGGTCACATATTCTGGACATGAGATGTGATGATGAATTGATGATGAAGAGTCGGCAAGATGATTTCAAATAAGTGATAACCAATTAACGGTAGAAAAGGAAAATTACAATTTGTTAATTTGATTTTATAACGAAGTTGAGACAAGAACGAAAACCTGAAGAAATGGAAAGAAACATTTTTCTTTTCAAGATGAAGATAAACTGACCGGTAGAAAAAGATTCCACCATTGATTCTGTAGACAGTTGATTAATCTCAAATTGTTCCTTATAATTGTTGCCCTTTTCGTATATGTCACACCGGGATTCCGTTAATTGCGTCCTTTTCCTTTTCTCTGTTTCTCTTTCAATACCAATCGGTTGATGAACGTGAATCAATTGCTTTGATTAATTTGTAAGTGAACACGGAGAAAAATGTAGTCGAAGTTTTAACTTGGGAGAGATGTAAAAATTTGATTAGAAAAAAGTGGCGATGGATCCAATTAATGGTCATCAACTGGTCAAGCAAGAGTTTCCTCTTTAAAACAATTAAACGTGAGTCACATTTGTCGATGAACATTTTGATTATCCTTTTAATTGTAACTCCTTTTCCTTTTGATGATCAAAAACTGGAAACACTGAAAATCCTTATCACTTTGTTTATGTAGCCAACTTTGCTTCTGCTTTGATTTGACATTTGTTAATCCGATTGATTTACTTTATAAATTATTAAAATTTATTAAGATCAAAACTGTTTCAGCTTTTTTCTTCATAGCCTGATGGAATGAGAGTAAAAGAATTAAAGAAAAAAAAAAGGAAAAGATGATTTAGAAGGGATAAAAAAGGAAGATGAGGAAAATGAGGAGAATGAAAGAAATCGCGACATTTTTCCGGTATTAGAAAGGAAAGAGAAAAGGAGATAGAAAAAAAAAGAGAGAAAAGTTCATGTTGATTATCAATGATGAGATTGAATTTATGATGAAAATGTTGATGTTGTTGACGATGATGTTGATGACGGTAACATAAAAGCGGTGGTTATAAAGTTATTGGTGGGGGAATTTAAATTTTATGTAGTTTGGTGTTTTCTTTTCCGTGATTGATTGTAAATGATAGAGATTGAGAAACATGCCAATGGGTTTTTCTCAGAGTGTTTTTTACGAATAGATGTGTATGTATATGTATATATATGTATAACCATTTTACAAAAAGCGATCATCACCAAATGCCAAAAAAACGAAGACACTATTTTCATTTGATTATTAGCTGTTAACTTTTTGTTTTGGTTTTATAGAATATCTTTGCTATCTTTTTCTGTCTGCTTGTTTTGTATCAGAGTTTAGATTAACTTGTTGATGTTTTTGTTTTCCTGCCTATTCAATAATATGTATATAGTTATAATATCATCAGGATCATTAATGTTACATTGCGAATGGATTATGGCTTGAGGATGGAGAGCTCAAGGGCACCATTGGTTGGCTTGATAATGGATGATTATTGGGCATCGTAACTGGCATAACTGGTGTTATTGTTGATGGACCCAGAGGACCGGTTAATGAGCTAATACTATCGTTTCCCATTGGGAAGATATTCTGTGATCGAAGTTGATTGATGGTGGGTGGAGGTGGTTTAGCGGCTTGAAACGGATTACAAACTGGAACAGTTGCAAAAGGATTACCTCCAGCTGGTAAAACTATAAGAGGAAGAAAAAAGATGAATGGTTTATAGTAAAATGTAATAAATGTAATGTTATGAATGTGAGAAGAAAAAAAATTATTATATATATGAATGACTAATAAAATGAATTCTAGAAAATAAGTAAACATATTTCTGATCATGGACAAACTCATGAGGGAAAATAATGTTACAATAGATAATAAATATTAATATGATGTAAATATTAAATTGTTTATTCATTACCTCCTGTGGTTTTACTGCTTACAAGTGCATCCAAATTAACTAAATTAGAGTTAGGACCCAAGAAATTTTCTGGTGTTTTTCTCGTTGTTTGGGTGTTTGATGAAATCGCCGAATCAAAACTGATACTTGATGAAATGGTTTCCTTGACTGTGATGATAAAAAAAGAAAAGAAAAGAAAATACAATTAAAATAACAAAAGTTGAAGGCCGTAAAAATAAAAAAGAGTAATGAAGAAAAATTATATCGTAAGTGACGTATTGTTTTTATTACTCTTTTTTTTTATAACTTACCTGGACTTTTAGAGATCATCTCTTCTCCCGTTTGAGATGACCAGGGATCCGTTGATTGGGGTGTTAAAGCGGGTGGACTAGATTGCCAGGGATCATTGGTAGCAGAGGTTCGACCAGAGTTACCATTCCAAGGATCAGAGTTGGTTACATGATTACCTGGGCCAACGGACCAAGGGTCATTCGATGCCAATGACTGGGTGTTGTTTAAACTACTCGAGGCTCCCAGAGATTGTAAGGGTAGAGGCGGTGGTGGTGGTGGTGGTACAGGGAATGCAGCGGCTCCCATAGAGTCTCCCGAAACAGACCATGGATCAACAGTGGTGGACGAATTATGTAAAGGAGGATTAGAACCAACACTGATGTTCAGTAAATCGTCCATAGCGGTTTTCTTAGTTAGCTTTTCTTTTTGACTCTCATTTAGAGCTAATTGGAAACGAATCTCATCGTTCTTTCTTAATCTATCTTCTTGTTCGGCTTCCTCTTTACTCATGGCCAAAGCTAATTGTAATTGAAGCTCCTCTTCACCCTTGGTTTGTGGTCTTGCACTTTCCAAATCAGATGGAAGAGGTTTACCAGCCTCTAATGCTGAGGCGGAGGCTATGGATTCACGAAAACTACCTAAACTGGCTAAAGGTTTGGGAATAGTTTCAATACCGGATGGAGCGTTCATCAGTGAAACCGATTGAGCAAATCTTTCTTTTGCTGTAAGAGCACGAGTTCTTTCCGTTTTAAGTCTTTCATCGTCTTTCAACAAAGCAACCAGTGCTTTGCTTTTCTCTCTAACATTCATTCCTTGATCCTTGTTATCTTCGAGGTACTGGAAATCTTTAAGAGTTTGGATAGCAAATATATTCTCTCGACATTGTTGAGCCACCTTTTCTGATCCAGTTTTAATTAGATACTCCAAAAGTACAAGAGCTTTATAAACATGTCTCCAATTTTTGCCATGATCATTTAATCTTTTCCAAATCATTTGCATAATCTCAGAAAAAGCGACCACATTGTAGGTTAAATCAGCTATTTCACTCATCAAAGTTGACGATGGGCCCCAAGGATCATTCGAAGTTGCCTCTCGTACTTTAACCTGGGGCTCGGTGTAGTTTTTAACAACATTTTTAACATTCCGTTGAAGACCTCGAACGTTAATCATTATAGAACAATTGGTTGTGATGTGATTTTCTGATTCGATTATCAACGAAAGACAAAAGAATTAACAAAATAAACAAAAAAAGATAAATAAACAAACAAAAGGCTTGGTCACTTTAATATAAATAAACTGTCACTTTAGTTATTCCTTAATGAGAATCTGACTGATGAGAAAAAAAAACAAAAAAGATTACGTCAAAGAGTAAAGAGTCTAGAAAGCAAAAGAATCACCGATCAGCGCAGAATCCAAAGCATGCGTAGAGTGTGTTGTGAGTTGAAAGTTTGTCTTGACATTAAAATCATTTTGAAATCGGTGAGGCATCACAAAGATCACAATTGTCCGCCAGTTGAACTTTTTCACTTTGAACATATTCTTTTCTCAGATTTATTCTTGGAAGCGGTTTAAGGCGACATTTGAGATTATCTTTTGTTGCACCAAAACCAATCCAAATGCAGAAATCCTCGATTTCTTCAGCATCCAAAGGTATATTTTTGAATGCTGTGAAGTTCCAATTTAAAAGCTGATTCTTTATGATTATGATAATTTTTTTATGAAAATACAGTTAGATGATCACGTCGATTTATACCATGAGATGATTTCGGAAAATGAGATTTCAATGATGTAGTGATATTGTAAAGGAATAATTCATAATTAGATCAAGACCATCAATAACTCATCATCACTCAAGATGATGTCTTAAAACCATTCTTCTGGGTCGAAGTCCAGTTCTAAATTGAGTTGTAATAAATCTTCATATGATTCCATAGATATATTTTTGGTTATCTAGTTTATCGGTTGCTTATTGTTTTAATCAAATACTAAATTATACACAAATATGGAGACATAAATTTAGAACACAAAGGTAGTTTAACAATTGAAAATACACAAATACAGTAGTAATACAATACGACAATTTCAATGTAGTAAATTGGTGAGGTTTAGATTCATGGTAACTGTGGAGAGATAAACTCAAAACTAAAAACTTGGAACTAAGAACCCTCTTCATTCTTTCTGCTTCTTCTTTTTATATCATTTGCTCCCTGAAAGTTCATGTACTTGAGAGTGGAAGTTGATGATAACATTTTAATTTATCAAAGGTGGAATCGAGGACGGAAGTTATTGTTGACATTATAATTGATTCAGTGTCATGTGGATTTTGTAATTGGTTAGAAATCCCCTAAATGCAATTAATTGACTCCCCGTGATATTTAATCAATTGAAACCTTATTGTTATTGTAATTACTCCCTAAGTGGGTAAATTACCCTTACAATATCATTAGATGATCCAAATTGATCATTGTTACCAAGTTATAAATGTTATAAACAAAATACCTGACATTATCGGTTGTATATAAACCAATAATGTTCGCGTAATTAACTGTATTAATTTAACTAAATTAGTTAAAAACGGTTTTGGAATAGAACCTGAAAAGGTCTAAATTGAATTTCTCTCTTTCCGTGTGTAATTGTTAACTCAATTCGAGTGACCAGAATTTAACCTGACGAATGATTTTCATTTTCTGTCAATTGTCTGGGTGTGAATATTTCTATTTTTTGGGTGAACGAAATTCTCACTATGATTCACATAAGCATGGAAATGGTGATATTGATGGTTAAGGTTTTGGTCCCACTATCTTAATAAATTGTTGTGGCAGGTAAAACGTAGTGCTTGATTGCCTCAGCATTGCCATTGCAAAGATTTGTTGGGAATAAGTACTGGGGTCTCATGCTTTAGGGGCCCCAGTACGTTATAAGGTCTTTTAATAAGAATATGTGAAAAATTTTTCTGATGCCAAAAGTAATACATAACAAAAGGGTGTTTAGTTTTTTAGTAACTATTAATTTTGGTGTAATAACAACTTTATCTTATATTGATAAATTAAATAAAATTTTTCATGTTTTTGGAACAAGTCCATCTGAGTATTGAAATTGCATTGAAAGAGAGAATACGAATCACTATAGCAATATGTGCTCTTAAGTTTAATCGCCTACACCATAATCTTCAGAATATACAAAGTAGTTTATCAGATTATTTCGGAATATCGATACACCTCAAATTTGGAAACAAATCGTCTTTACGAAACTTTGTGAAATATTTTTCTAAATTCGATTCAGAGGATTTACACAAGAATATCCCTTTCAGCATATTTTTCTTACTCAAAAACAGTATTTGACTGGGCGGTATCTGTTGATAATAAATTTTCTTTCCGTGATTCATTCGTTATTAATAATTGGTCTAAATATCGTTTTTTACAAGGTTTTTGTGAAGAGAACCCCAATAACGATAACTTTCTTAAACAAAGACCATCTTCAAAGAATTGTATAATATTAGGAAACGAATGTATTTGGGTGAGTTTTCTTGAAATGTTTTATTTCTATTTTGTTGATTTCTTTGATTATTTTGTGATGGCATCGGGGTATGATACCTTAGAGAGAGAGAGAAAGAAAGAGTAGCGGAGAGTGAAAACTTTGATAAGCTTTCACAAAGAGAAGGCTAGGAAATCAAAGCAAGAGAGAGAGAGGTATTAAAAAGAGAAGATCTCAAAGTGAACATAATTTTAATTTCATTTTGTCTCTGCTTATATACAAAATTGAGAGTGCGTGTTTTCACCATCATCATCTTATCTTTGATCAAAAATCAGTTGGATCATGATAAGGTGATGATGATGATAACAACACAATGTTGAGCAATCAACAATAATCATCATAAACCAATTGTCAATGTTGATTGTGTGTTGGTACTGATTGTTGGTTACATTCAGGGGAGAGGAGTTGATCTCCTCACAATTTTATTTTTAATTGTGTTTTCTGTGTCTATTGTTTTAATGATGTATTGTTCTAATATCTCATTACAATAAGAAAATTTATCTTTTTGGTTGATAATTATGTTGATTGTAAAAATGTTCATTAAACGATTTATGTAATTTTGTAGATAGTCTCCTATTTGTTTTGTAGTTATTATCAAAACATCCAAAAGTTTCATATTGTTCAATGGATTGTAAATAATTGTCTATGTCGTTAGATGCTAGTTTGCTTTCGCTTTGGAAATTTTTATGTTTAGTTCCTTCACTTGTTACTTTAATGAATATCATTTATTTAAACCTTTTAATTTTAATTATTATTATTGCTATTTCTTAAACTAATTAACAAAAATCTAATTTTTTTGATTATTATATTTTTGTTGATTTGATTTATAATTGAAAAAGTTCGATAATCACTTCCTTTCTCAATTAATTTTGATTTTATTGTAACTAAGTAATTATTTATTGGATTTTGAATGTTAATAATATAAAGGAACGAAAATGAGACTTCAATTTCACCCAATATACAGTCGGAGAAAATGAGTTTGACGGTGGTTTTATATCATTCGCGCAGGCAAAAATGATAACAACAATTTATCAATCAAATCAATGTTAAATTTGAATCTCTTGATTATCTAATCATTGATAAATTGTTATTATCGCTTTTTCTGCGCAAAAAATTTAAAACCACCGACAAACTCATTTTCTCCGACTGTATTTTGAAAACAAAATGATAAGGCTTTTGTTATCATTGTGGCTTTTAAAATAAATAGTTTATCCTTAAAAAAATGGCTTGAACCAATTCAACTGTCCGTGCTTCCCTTCGAAGTTCAGAAACGCACTCCTCATCTGGTATGCCTTTAGCTTTAGTGCCTAGAAAAGATATCTAGCACTCTCATGATGATTCCAATTCCATGGTCGAGAATCATTCAATTAATAGGGACCGTAGTCGTTCACCGTTTATGAGTGTGGCCGATTGACCACGTTGATGGATCCTGTTCCCGGCAACATTACCTGGACCTACAATGGATCTTTTTGATGTTAATACGATTGTTGATGGTAAAATCGATTCCAGCGATGATGAGTCTTGAAAACTCATTTTCTCCATGTTGATGTTGATTCTTAATGATAAGACTAACCTTGGTTTGTTGTTGTTGTTGTCAATGATGATGATGATGATGGTGATGGATCTTTTGGTACTTCTTGTGGAACTGAAGAGGAACCAACTGAAGCTTCTAATAATTTAAGAAATTTATATGAAATAAAAATAAGAAAGAAAGAAAAATTATTATATTGACGATTAGAACCTATGGCAACATTTGGTTTCGTTTGATTTCAACCTTTAGCAGTTGAGGGACCTTTTGATGATCTTGGTGAATATTGTGGTAATTACCTTTATAGCTCGACGATCAAATTTTAATTGCACTTATTTCACTTCACTTTGTCGATTAGTCAAATAAATTATTCACTTTTATTGATGACAAATTGAAACAAGAACAAAAACACAATAAAATCAAGAATAAATTATCTTCGAGGTTGATGGTTGGGCAGTTGGACAAAGACTAACTGAATCCTCTCTTTGACTTGAAGAGAAAGCTAATGTTGAGAGTCAACAGTGCCCTCTGTCTCGGTTTGATCTCGGTGAGATTCAAAAGTTAAAAGTGTTTAAAGGTTAATTAATCAGATTAAATATTTGATAGCTAATAACTCTTTAGATATTTAATCTGTAAATCTGTTTATTTTTTGAAATTTGCTTTGGATTAACCATACTTCTTATCTTACAAACTTTAATCTTTTCATTTTATCCTCTTCAACTTTATTTATAAAAAATAACTGCCAAATACAAAGCTTTGGCAAGAATAGAAACTAATCTATATTTTGTACTTGGAGGTGGTGGACAGGTCGCATTGTGATTATCAACTGAACACTTATACATTTTAATGATAATACAACAAGTGTAGGTATGATGAGGAACGAAGAAGAGGAAAATAATTATATTCCAGATTAAAACCTCTGACAACATTTGGTATCAACCAAAACTAACCTTTCTCTCTCTCTCTCTTTGAATCCACACAAATTTGTCTCCTCGGTTCTTTACCATTAAGATGTGTTTTCACAACAAACGCTTTCCATTCCTGATAAGTTGTTGGCCCTTCTTCATCGAAACTGTCATCGTCACTTGACGCCCTCGAAGACCCACTTGACTCCACCAATAAATTGGAGATAAAAAAGCACAAAGGAAAATGACAGTTAGTCTTATCAATAAGAAAATCTTTAAAAATCTGATGAAATAAATTAAAAAAGAATTACAGTAATTACGAATACTATATTTAGCGGTGGAAACAGAACGATAGACTCCAAGAACAGAATCATCCAAATTAATTATCACTAAATGATCCATCAGCATCAACAGCGATTACTATTATAATTTCCCTTCTTTTTTTACTCTTATAAATCTTAGAATCTTCAATCTGGTAATTAAAACAATTTAGAGAGATTCTAAGATTTAAGCGAGAGTTTCAAATTCCGCCAAGT